TCTGGTAATTAAATAAAAACAAATATTTAATACTTTACTATCAGAATACACACGAAAATAAAATAAAAAAGTCTTTGCCCTGACCCGGATTCGAACTCTGAATCATCGGTTCGTGGTCGGAAACTCTGCGCACTGCGCTATGGAGACATGTTCGATTTGTATTCAATACTAGAATTTAAAGGACTAATAAAAATATAGGATCTTCTTTCATTGCGCAGTAGGGAACGCAACGTTTACCGGCAGCCAGACGGGCCGCATGCTGTTCTAGAGAGCATAGTAAAATATATATCAAAGAGCCAGACGTCTTAAAATACTTGTTTTTCCGACGTTGCTAGCTCTCGTACTAATATATTCAATAATATATTTATGTATTTTGTTTTGTAACTTAGGCTAAGTTGATTTTTCATTTTCATCAACTTCAATGGTTTAAAAAAATATTAACTGATTTCTGATTAGTTTTTAAAGTAGCTTTCTCTAAAAATTAAAATTGGATTTTTACTTAATACCCTATAGAGATAATCGAGATTATATTAGAAAATATCTCTTTTTATTGCAGTTTATATTTCTCTCTTAGATATGTATTTTGATAATAATCAATTTTATTTTTAATCTTGTTCATATCATTATACTTTTTTTAAATATAAAATAAACAATGACAAGTTTTCTGTTTACTAAATATTTAACTTGATGTCTTTTGGAATTTTTATTTTTTTTATACAGGGTGTCCCAGAAATGAGTGCAAGTATTTTAACAGGTAGTATAGTTCAACCCCAGAAACACGCCTATGAAGTTTTTTTCGCTTCGGAATTTTTTGATTTTTTTTTGGATTTTTTTTAGTTTTTATTTAAAAAAAAATAATTTCTTGATAATATGGTAACATAAGTAGTAGATTAAATTTACAAGAAAGAAAATCTAGAAAAGGTCCAGTGGTTCTCAAAATTTTAGCAAAAAATCATTTTTTTTTGGAAATTTTCACAGTAAAATAACCCCGTTATTTTGGACTTAAGCTAGGTTGACACGGGTAGTGAAGCACGATCGTGTCTCACACTTTCGTGAGCTACGAAAGTAACAAAAAGCCATTCGTGAAAAACGAAAATCGTCCAGCGATCGTAGGCTGTTTACACGGCAAACGTGCCAGTCTTCTATAAAGTTCCTTTTGTGGAAGGTTGTACACTAATGTGCCAATTACGACATTAAAAGACGAGTTAAAATAATTGTGGCATTCATGTCAATATCTCTTCACAGAGTTGCCAATATTTAGTATTTTACATCTTTTCGTCAGACATTTCTAATTTACTTGCGAGTCGTTACTGTATATAAAAATTGAATTTATATTTATATTAATTATGGTTTTGTTATGCATATGAAGTTAATTTTTATAATCATATACTAAAATGTATTAAAAAAAATGTAACAATTAAACATTCGAACTTTTTTTAGCAACAAAGATTATAATCGGAAGTCAATCAATATTTTCTAATGCGAGAATAGTGCAAAATATGCCTTTTTTACCTCAACTTCCTCTGGGACTTCTCGATTTGGTTCGTGAAATATCTAACACGTTTGATTTGCTTATTCACGATCGTGGCGTCTTTCGTATTGATTAGTTTCTAGTTTCTATTCTTCTTTTACGAATCTACTGTTGACATGAGGCGTGATCCACGAAAGTGTGGGCCACGACCGTGCTTCACTACCCGTGTCAACCTAGCTTTATTTGAAAAACGATAAAGAGAAAATATGTTTCTTTTATCGAGATCTACCACCCCTTAAAATACTTGCACTTATTTCTGGGACACCCTGTATTTTTAAAATAATCTTTGCAAATAAAATACCTACCCCCTTACTCTTGCAATAATTAACATAAAGTTTCTGCATCGATCCAATTCTGACCAGTAATAGCTTAGGAATTATTAATCAGCATAACTTTTTCCCTTCAACTCTTATTATACATAATATATTTTTTTAAACATCTAGACTTAATATTTCGGAAAGTATTGATCATATTATATAGCCAGCTATAATATCTAAAGAAGCAAACTTTCTTTTTAAACTTGGGGAAATTCATTGTATAAATAATGAAGCCACAAAGACATTTTATTTACGTTCTCGTAAACGTTTACGACTTTATATTTAATAACTTATTCTATGTGAGAACATATACGTAGAAACTGAATAATATTTCCATTATTTGGATTATGTAGTTTTATTATTTAGGTGGAGATAGAATGCAGCTGAAATTGCTCTTGGTTAAAGTTCAATATCACGGATTTCATACCACTGCATTTTCTTAGTTTAAATATTATTTCTATAAAACAAACTAATCTAACTAACAACATCTAGAAAGTTCAGTATTTTCAATTTTCAAATCAACTTGGGTTCTCTCTTGGTTTTTATTGTACATATTTGGTTTGTGATTGGCAGATGTCAAATGGATAAAAATACATGTACTATAATAGTTAACTAAACTAACTAGAACAACCGAGTAATAAACATTACTAATAATTAACTAACTAAAGTACTCGCGTAATGAACAATCAAGAGATAGAGCAGTCTACACAGATGCTTCCGTTTCTTCAGGAGGCACAGGTATCTTCCCAGAGGAACCAGACATTCGACGATCTTTAAGGCTGTCGGATGGCTGTAATGTTCTACAAGCAGAGATTTACGCTATAAAGGAAGCGGCCAGTTGTGTACGAGAGAAAATCGCTGCGAATCGAGAAGCACTGTTCTGGCTGCGTTTGTGCTGGTTGCCAGGCCACAGCAATGTGGTGGGCAACCAAAAAGCGAAGAAACTCGCCAAAGAGAGAACTGTCTAGCCCTAGCAGTCTATTAAGCTTGACCAATCAGGTTGGTTAGCGTGGTTATTTGAAGGGTGTTAATTCATTTGTGTTTGTCAAAAACTCTAACGTGATTGGTTGGGCTTAATAGTTGCCTGCTAGGGCTAGACAAGTGCCAAAGAGTGGGTCAGGGGAGAGGCCGTGGCAGATGACCCACCACTTGTGGCGATCAACACACTGAAGTAAGCTATAGGAACTACCATCAAGGTCTAGCAGCAAGAGACGTAGCAACACCGTGAAGACTGTGCTACAGTTCAAAGACTGTGGCTAGTGGTAGATAGCAAAAAGACAAAACAACTACTAGAGCACAAAAATAATCTAGTACTCATAATTGTAGGTGTCATCACTGGAAACTGCCCCACGGGGGTAAACCTCGTGAGATGGACTATTTCCAACGACGACTACTTCAGAGAATGCGGAGATGAAGATGAAACCATAAAGCATCTTCTGTGCCACTGTCCGGCACTGGAATACCGACGCTTTTAAAACTTTAGGGCAAGGTTTTTTTGAGGGACTAGAAGATGCAGCAGAAACCAACATCAGCGACATCGAGAACTTTGCAAAGAGCTGGAAGTGCTTTAACGCAAAGAAAGAATGTGAGAAAAGTTTGGTACAATAAAACAGGGGTATCACAATGGGCCCAAGGCCTCCGAGTGAGGGATCAAACAGGATCCTATACCTCAGCAACCTAACCTAACCTAATCATAATAATTAATTTTGGTGTAAAATCGTTCCATACATACCCTATCAGTAGATAAGCAATGTATGTTCTGCGGCAAAATCCCATGCTTTTTCATATGAAGGTCCATCCTGTCTTTTTTTGTACAATTCAAGGTCACAGCAGTTTGGAGCATCTCAGTCTGTCTGTCTGTCTGTCTCTGTCTGACTCTCCTTCCTCCCCCCACCATATATACAGACAGACAGACAGACTGAGATGCTCCAAACTGCTGTGACCTTGAATTGTACAAAAAAAAGACAGGATGGACCTTAAGAAAAAGCATGGGATTTTGCCGCAGAACATACATTGCTTATCTACTCCTATCGACAAGAGAAGTCTTGGGTCTGAGTATTTACATATATAGGAGAGAATCGCTAACATTTGAATGTCAATGTAAGAAAGTATACTAAGTCATGTTTAAATTAAAATTGTATCTAAAAATTTGTGTGAAAAGTGACAATCCTTCGTCTAATTCGGATAAACTACAGAATAGACAATTATATAAACAGACCATAATGTACAAAATGTATGTCACTGCACTTGCATGCACGTCTTGCTAACCATGCATCATCAGAATTGATTAAAAATTAAACTGGTATATTTTAATCATAAACCGGTCAGTTTAGTTTTAATCACTAACTAGTGATCCTCTTACGTGGTTAGAAACACGAGAGTCTATAGTGATATATGTACTAATAATAGACTCTTTTGGTGCGTTATTGTTGATTTCTATAATTTATCTTAGGATAATTACTTGAGGGGTTGAGTTAAGAAGGTTGTAATTTATTTTTATATTGGGTAAAAATGCTTTTTAAATGGTGTAGTTTAAAATGCAAGAAAATATATTTTTAAAATATTTTTTTGGAAATGATTTGTTTATCTGGAAACGGTCTATCCTTTTTTAATCTTTCTGCAATTACTGTTAATTTTTGACAATTTTTGTGTCAATCTTTAGTAATGATGACGTCTAGAGATTGACCTCGCCAAAATTATCATCCATTGTCATTTCCCAGCCGTTTTTGACGCCGTTTTTTTTTCGATCATACGGTGATTCCTAAATGCTTTTGTTTTTGGCGTAAATTGAGATTTCACTAATTCAATTTCATTATAATGTAGTGTGGTTATAATGCCCAATGTCATATCCCATGATCGAAAAAAATAGCATCAAGTTGCCTTGGAAATGACGATCAATGGCATTCATCATATAATTTTATATATAAAATGACATTGCTTATTATTTTCTAGCCAACTGCGTTGTCGATTTTTTTCAAACTACGGTGACAGTTTTACTTCATATTAATTTAAGAAAAACTGTATTTCTGGATTTTCTGGAATTCGTCTATCGAAATCATAATATTTTGTTTCCGGACAGAATATAATTAATGTTAATCTAAATACAATAAATAAATATTGACATACTTGTTCTAATGTGATCTTTTTCGCAGGTAAAACCTCTCAATCATCCCCATTCAATTTCAATCGTTCGGGCACCAACTCGCGCTTCAGCCAAGACTTTCCGTTGCTGGGCACCGAGAAACCAAGCCCAAGTCAGATGCCCTACAGCAATGGATTGTACGGTTCCGCGAGTGCCACTCATGCTAGTGCCAGGAACTTTCCACCTATCGGCACCTTCTCGCTCGATAGCAACAACGTATTTAACAGGTACGTACCGTCAGACAAATAATATAAAGAAACAAACACGGCTGTACCAAACGAATGTTCCAAAGATAGTATATCGAGACGGTCTTGGGACAATATTTACATGTCTAGGAGTGATTTACATATTTCGGAGGGGGAGTATAATAGATCCTTGACAGTCCTATTTGACGATTCATTTGACACATTTGAATTTGATTTGAAATTTTGTGGATTTGTCAGGCTTTACTGAGCTTATTTTATGTTATTTATTATTTATTCTACTACTGATATTTGTTTAAAGGTAGTAAATCTAGAACGAAGTTGTGGCAGAACTTAAATTAACAGTGACACTATTGCGATTTATCGAAAAAGGCTAAAATAGTTGGTTGTGTAGCGTGCGGTAGATCTCGGTCAAAAATCAAAGGAAATAATGGAATAACTTTTCGCTAGTAAGTGACTATAATATACTACATACGTGTAGTAAACCGATTATTTATGAAATTCACTTAAATTAACTAATTATATTTTTTTTCTTGCATTATTGCTTTTAAAAAAACAACGGCGAATGCAGGGAAAATGGGGAAACACCAGAACACTTTGTTACTGCATGCGCCGAGACGACAGCCATTCGTGCCATAAAGTTTAGTACTATCGGAAATCGAGAACTAACTTCTGTAAAACCGTCTCAGATACTTGCCTCTGTCTGAGATGAGTTATAACTCCTTAAAACAGAAAAGGAGACACAATAGATCTGTAATTTTTTGGTGATTAACTCCCCTCCGATCATAGACTTAAAATAAAATATAGACTACACTATTTACATCTCAACGCGGACAAACAACCTTTTTTGTACACATGTTTACTTCTGGGTACAGTCGACCGAGCCTTCCTCATCCAGCCTATGTTGTCACGTCTTTAATATTATCAATATTTTTTTTCTTGTTATACACATATATTGAGATATTAATACTACAGTTTAATAAAGTAGGTTTTAATATTCCATAGATGTATTAAATAGTCCTTATACTACTAAATTATAAGTCGGATACTGTTTAATAAGGATAAGTTCTTTACAATATGACAACACCGATTAGAGGCGAGGGAGCCTATTCATTCATTTATTACCTTGTAGTACGTGTCGCACGTGTGCGGTAAAGCTTTGTTGCCGCTATCTCCCCGGCTGTATTAACGCATTTTCTTAGCTTGTAGTCCTTAAGTATTTATTTTATTGACTTTTTCTGTTCAAAACTATAAAATATGGTTCGCCAGTGCCAAATTTGTAAGAAATTTGACTTAAATAATCCATTTAAGTCTTGAAACGACTTTTTGACCGGTAGGCAACTCTCAATTTACCCATTGGCAGTCAGTGGCGTTGTTGTAGAAAGGCGCTTATTTAGATAATATTTTAGTAAAATGTAAAATCTGAATTTTTTCTTTTACATTACATTATTTACTTACTTACATTGTAACAAAATCATAATTATAACCCTGTTAATAATTAATAATGTTTTTATTAAAAATATATTCCGGTTTATTCTAAAATTATCTTCAGAATCTAAAATAACATACAAGAATTTTAAAATGATATTACATTATGAAACAATATTTTTAATATACCGGGTCGTCTCAAAAGTGGCTCAACCCTATAACTTTTTTTATTTTTTCAGATAAAAAAACAGATTTGTATATTAGTAGGTATATGACATAAATTAGGATTTATTGACGTATTCAATTGTTTTTGGTCTCTTCCTGTTTCACCGAAATGATTACATCTTTTGATTTTTAAAGGCACCCTCGGTATATTGCTACTTTATTCGATAAAAAATGACACTCTGAATAGAATGACATATCATATGTCAACTTTTGACATTGTCGCTTAAAACATATCCAATTTTAAATTTCAATCCAGTTTTTTCAATCCACTAAGTTTTAATCAAGGAGCCTTGGAAAAATAGTTTTGATCGTCTAATAGGTTTCTTGTCTTGTCTAGGCCGGTTAAAAGATGTACAAATCGTATTTTTAATCATACATATGTCAATTTTTTCAAATGGAACAAGGGTGACTCATTAGCATATTTGGAAAAAGCATTTTTTTATGAATATATTGATACCACACACTTGGTATTTCGAGTCAAATTGTCGTTATGAACCGCGTGTTACAATTACAATTAAACCATATGCGAAAATGTCAAAAGTTGACATATGATATGTCATTCTATTCAGAGTGTCATTTTCTATCGAAAAAAAAGTTATAGTCGTTTCCGGTGAAACAGGAAGTGACCAAAAACAATTGAATGCGTCAATCAATCCTAATTTACTTCATATACTAACATACTAAATCTTGTTTTTTTATTTGAAAATATAAAAAAATTATGGGGATGAGCCACTTTTGAGACGCACCCGGTATAATAAAGACAGTACCGAGTTAAATAAATGTAGTTTTTATTTTATCCACTTCCTATCACCTTCCTTGCTTTAATGGAACAGATTTATGTTTTCTCTAATTTACATAATAAGACATCACTTAACCAGAAAAAAAAATTACAACAATCATATTTTTTTTTTCCTCTGCCTGTCGCCGATTCTATTATATCTGTGGAATAGATCCTGTTTTGATTAATATTAGGGGTTGTAAATGTTTGACTAAAATTATTAATTTATTATTAATTTCAAAAATTACCTAATTTCGATTATACAATTTCTTCTATAACGTGTATTTTATTATTTTTATCCTTTTTTGGACTCTAAATTGTTTTTTCTAAACTTTTATTTAAAAAACCTGTCCTAAATCTTAATAAAATATAAAAAAGTTTAAATACGATATATTTTTAATTTAATTATAGCTTCATTAAAATAAAAAAATTACCCGGCTATGATACGGAGAGTTCAGGTGTACTTGAGAAACGAAAGACAGTGTTGTGTTTCTCGGCAGAGTCGTCAGGGAACGACCGTTACGACAGAAACAACCTATCTATCGCTCGTGTCACACTCGTTATAACCTTAAACAATAACACAACAATAACAAGACAGTGTCTGACCGCATGTTCCAGCTATTTATGAATGAGATGCTCAGTCTATATTTTATTTTAAGTCTATGCCTCCGATACTTTCTACGTAGGGAATGTCATTGATGTTCATTTGCAAACCAACTGGACGCCGTTTTTTTTTCAATCATACGCTATTAAGAATAAGTCTAAATTCATTTATACTAAATATTCGAAAATCTCATTTATACAATCATCTTAACAAATTCGAATGGTGTAATATTATTTTTATAAGATAAAATATATATCATACTTTTATTATTGTGATGTAACTTGTATGCTATAATATGCACCGGATATTGTTTTGTGTTTACTTTATGTTTTCTGTTTACCGCTGTTTAAAGTATTTTTGTAATTATTGTTTATGTTAATTTGAAAAATGTTCTGTATCTCCTTAACGTTGGCAACAAACCAATAAATATGTACGTACATAAATACTTATTTAAACTACTACTACTGGTCATATATAACGTATTGTTATACAATACAGCGTGTCTCTGAAAATTTGTCTAGAATTTTATTACAAATTCTCAATACAATAAATAAAATGTTTTACATCTACTTGACACTAATAAGTAAATATCTAATACCGAAATTATCTTAAAGTACTTATTATTGAAGAAAAAGCGGTGTCGCGGTGGCTTTTGAAATGACAATAGGTGATAATTTCTGTTTGGCCGATCTCCATTTTATTTATTAAAAAGTGATATGTATTACATCTTAATATTTTTTTAGAAAAAATTAAAAATTTTTTAGACAAAAATCTGTTTTCAAAAAATCATTTTTACTGTATTCTTATACCGGGTGCCTTTCAAAAGTGGCTCAACCCTATATAACTTTTTTATTTTATCAGATGAAAAAACGAGATTTGATATGTTAGTATATGACATAAATTAGGATTGACTGACGTATTCAATTGTTTTCTGTCACTTCCTGTTTCACAGGAAACTTTTGATTTTTAAATGACACCCTCGGTATATTTCTACTCAGGGATACAGAAATTTATTTTAGGGGGGGCCCAAATAAAACCCGAAATGACTACAACTTTTGATTTTTAAATGGCACCCTCGGTATTTTTTTTACTTTATTCGATAGAAAATGACATTCTAAGTAGAATGACATATCATATGTCAATTTTTGACATTTTTGCTTAAAACAAAATTGGATTTTAAATTTCAATCTAGTGTTAGGTTGTGTTAAAAATACTAATTTTTAATCAAAGAGCCTTGGAAAAATAAATTTCATCGTCTAATGTTGTTCATGTCTTGTCCAGGTCGGTTTAAAGATGCCCAAATCGTATTTTTAATCATATCTCAATTTTTTCAAATGGAACGAGGGTGGCTCATTAGCATATTTGGAAAAAGCACTTTTTTGCGAATAATTTGGTACCACACACTTGGTATATCGAGTCAAATTATTGTTATGAATCGCATGTTGCAATTTCATATAAACCATATTCGAAAATGTCAAAAGTTGACATTTGATATGTCATTCTATTCAGGGTGTCATTTGCTATCGAATAAAGTAGAAGGTAGAAATATACCGATGGTGTCATTTAAAAATCAAAAGTTTCCTGTGAAACAGGTAGTGACAGAAAACAATTGAATACGTCAATCAATCCTAATTTATGTCATATATTTATATACCAAATTTCGATTTTTTTATCTGAGAAAATAAAAAAGTTATAGGGGTGAGCCACTTTTGCAGAAATCGAACTTTGATAGAAAGTTATAGTACAAGACTTTTAGGGGTTGGTATTCCAAAGCTTTGAAAGGCCGTAGTGACGCCGTATTTTTTCGTTGGTATGGTATTGTAATCAGTTGTTTTATGTCTAAGGAAATTTGATTATTAAAAATACCATGAACCAGTTTATATCATAAATTACTTTTACATAAATTTTACCACAAACCACAAGATATCTATTTTTAAGTGACATACGATTAAACTGGCACAACACCACAACAACATTTACAGTACATGGAAGTTTAATTGGTACCAATTTTTAATTTCTACCTAAATCAATATTGGTAGAGATTCTAGTGATTTTTAATATTTGAAATTATATTGTATATATTATATTGTAAATTTATTGGATTGTTTAACTTCTTTTCAGTTCCGGCGATAGTTCTATGAACACGTCTTCTTCAAACATTTTCTCGAATGGAAACAACACTAGTAGCAATAGTTACAACAATGATTCTTCAAACTCAGCCAATATGGGTACACGAGAGACTGGAATAATAGAAAAATTGCTGGTAAGTAGATTTAGTAGGCTATTTTTGAGTTAACATGGCGGATAACTGTCACTAATGTCGTAGATACGATTATTTATGTATAAGGAAGTTGTATATTATTATATACAACTTCTTTTCTGCCGTGTTAAGCTCCATACTTACTATTCGCTAATGCGGATCGTCAATGCGGTTCGTTATGAATTTCGTCCATTGTGTTCTTTATATTGTCAAGGTGTATTACTGGTTGCATAACTGCATACTGCTAAATAATCGCAACGTGCATTGAGGAACCTGGCGCATTCGCCAGAAAGTAAAAGAAAATTATAGAATTCTTTAGAAAATTCCAGAAACCATCGCCAGGGGGTATATAAGGCCCGCGCTTTGACAGTTGAAAAAGTCTGAAGATAGTCTGAAGTTTGAAAATACCGCGAAATACCGTTAGAGTAATAGTAGTTGCATAAGTTGTGTTGTAAATAGTATAAGTGGTGTGTACAGAGTGAAACAAATAAATTCGTTAAGTATTTTATCGTGAGTTTAAATAGTGGACCCACGGAATCCGTAACAATATTTTTTTTAATGGTTTGCCCAGAAACGGACATGCCACCAAATCGCCGCCAATGACGAACCGCATCAGCATATAGTAAGCATATAAGCGCATCGTAAGCCCATAAGGGCATAGTAAACTTTATACGGCTGTGTGAAAATGAAATGTTTTGATATCTAGTTTCTTAGCTAATATAACTTTTAATATTAAGTCTAACAAAATGACACTTAAAGTATACAAAGGACTTTCCGAATAAAGAATGAATTAGTGAAAAGAAGGAATAAAGAATGAATTAGTAAAAATACAATTTGTCGATTGCAGTCAGGGTCGCAATATAATCTAATTTTGCTAGGTATAAAGTAAAGGCCAACTCTATTAGGTTGCACTGCTATTGTTTGTGCAAATTTAATTTAAAGTGAATGCTCTTCTAACTCAAAAACACTGGTGCTTACCGGTTTTGTACTATATAAATATTTTCCTGTGTTTAATATTAATGTAAACGGAATACGAGGACAATATAACGTCGTCCTGTTCAAAAAATTGATATAAATACAGAAGGCTGGGCAAGTTTATTTGAAAATTAAGGCTCGTGTAAAACTAATGTCAGCGTTTCTATGGCTTTTTACCTGAAAGAAATTTTCCTATCCAACAAAAACACTTTCACGGGGTGTATATCTCCCCATCGCCAGAAGCAAAAAAAAAAGAAAAACACTTTAAAATATCTGAATGTCACTATTTCGAGATCACTTTGGTTATCACAGACATTTGAAATAGGTTTTTGTTTTATTGCTAAGGACCAAGGGGATCGGATATACTTCCTAAAACGTTAAGTTTTTCTCTTCATTATAAGAATTTATTTCCTGCTAATAAAGCCGGTCCTACACGATGCTTCCAAGTTGGAACCAACATTGGACGCATCATTTGGTATAAGCTTCGACGATATTACGATTCACGTGGCGTGTCTCCTACACGATGTGGCAAATGTTCATGTGTCCAACGTTGGAAGATATTTGACACATCGTGTGGGACCGGCTTAAGCCACTGATAAGCTAGTTTCCGCTCGGATTTTAACGCAGTGGCATTTTGTCCGTTTCTACAACTGGGTAACATTCAGAATAATTTTATAGAGTTTTTAAATGATCAATTTTTCAATCAGATCTAGAGGAAAGGTTTTTTCTGCAGTATGTTCCCGGATTGTCTTTGTAAGAGGAAATGTCTTTGTAAGAGGAAAAACATTTTTGTTATTGACATTTGGAGAAAAATGCATTCTTTATTAAAATTTTTGCTTGTTCTAAAGTGGTTAATTCCGTTCATACTTTTCCAAGTTTCCTTACTGTTTTACGGAAAATTAAAAAAAAACATGTAGAAACGATTGAAGTTCTAAAAATTAAAAGGCGTTTCTATTGCATTAAAATTTCGTTTTATTAGCATTACTTTAACAAAATCAAACACTAAATCACCACAATACACCAAAACATTTTTACACTGGACGCGCGTTTCGCTAACCATGTTAGCATCATCAGCAGATGATTAAAAACCAAACTCATGTTTTAGCGAAACGCGCGTCCAGTGTAAAAGTAAAAGTGTTTTGTTTTGGTGTATTGATGTGATTTAATGTTTGATTTTGCTGTGTAACACCAAAGGTTCCAACCCTCAACTGTAATAGCATTATTTTGTTTCATTAGCATTAGAACATTAATTTTTTTGGAGAGACGAATCCGCCACTTAGGTATAGACATTTTTTCCTTTCCTTAGCATTAAACTAAATAAATTTTGTGCTTCTTTAGCATTTTAAAACAACAAAAAAAATGACGTTAATTAAAATTCTATCAATAACAATCTATCAAAGAATGAAAACGACATTCTATTACCATAAAAACGCCTTTTAATTTTTAGGAAAAAAATATGGAAAAAAATCAACTAAAAGGCAAATTGCATTTTTTCCGTGCCTCTTTCTTTTAAGAGCGTTTAGACTCTCAGATAATTTGGGCAAACCGGTTTGCGCAAGCCATTTTGCACAAAATTTGCGCAAATCTATCTTTCGTTTACACATACAGTTTGTTTGTGCTATTTTTCGGACGGATTTTATTTAAATAACTTCACTACAAATTACGTTACTGCAGTAAAATCCGTTTTATCAACTTAATTTGCTTTTTATTGTCATTATTGTTACAAATCCCGCATTTTTCATAAGCTTTTTACGCAAGTACAATATAGTACTGACGTTAGGATGTAAATACCGTATTATCGAAAAAAAAACGGCGTCCAGTTGTCTAGTAAATGACGATCGATGACATTTCCCATAAATTTACATGTAAAATGACAGCGTTCTTCATTTCATATCGAATATGCATTATACTGCAACAAAACCCATCTTATCCGAATTATTTTTGTGTTTTTATCTGTTTATTAATTAAATATTAGTTTTTATTTCTAGAAAAACGAGATACAAAACAATGATTCCACTCAATGGACACGTTTTTTTTGTAAATTAACGCTTCAAGTATTTGCTAAGCCCTCGGCCACACAGAAAGGGTTTTTTGCGTTTTTTTCGTGTCGGGCGCTTTTTGCGATTTTACCGTTTGAAACGTTTTTTTTTCTATTTATGTCCATTAAAAACACGCAAAAGAAGCGGCAGGTCTGCAGTTTCTATCAAGCTGTCAATTAGTAACGTCGCAAGCTTTTGGATCCTCGGCCCGTTCAACAATCAATCCTGTGAGAAAGAGATAGGCGAGATCGGCACGGTTAGCGTTGAAGAGACGAAGATAAAAGATATGCTGGGATTGAATCGTGGACGGGCCGGGGCATATATTCGGCGACAAACACAATCTAGTGCTAGTGGTGTGTGTAAAAATAATTATTATTATTTGCCATTTATTTTACGAATTTTAGTTTATTTGTGTATAGTTTTTTTATGTTGTAGTTTTGTGGTTACTTGTTGTAATTATAATATAATAAATAATTATAATTATATAATAGAATAGTAAATATAACTAGTTGCAAACGCAATTTTAGGACGTGATTTATAAAACTTTTTGAAGTGAAACTTCTTTACGCGCGCTGAGAGTAAAAATTCAAGGGCGTGACATACGAGCTAGCGAGACGGCCCTGACACGAGCTAGTTGTAACGAAACGTGTTAATGGCTTAGAAATACGTAGTAACGCGACGTGTATTTGTGAGCAGTCCTCGTGTTGATCAAAAATAATGATATTTTAATACAAATTTGAACACGTAAAAAACTATTTGTTACACGTAAAAAACTATTTTTTACGCGTCAAAAACTATTTGTTTCTGTTAAAAATCCTTTTTTACGCTGAAAAAAATGTTTTTTAAGTGTAAAAAAACTATTTGTTACACGTAAAAGAACTGTTTTTTACTCGTAAAACATTACTAGCTACTTGTAAAAAAGTATTTTTTACGCAAAAAAATATTTTTTGCTTTTAGAAAACTATTTTTTACACGTATAAAACTATTTGTTACTCGTAAAAAACTATTTGTTACGCGTTAAAAAAACTTTTTACGCATAAAAACTATTTTTTACGCGTAAAAAAATATCCATTTTTCAACATTTCAAACTACACTTTTTCTAACATTTCCTTCAAATTTTTGAATTTAATAGAATCTTCCTAAACAGTAGATGTTCTCTATAAAAATATTTTTAGATAATAGGTACCCTAAAATGAAAAAAATGCATATTATTTAATTTATTGTATTGTTAAATATTACGTCCGCCTATGACGGGGTCGCATCTTAGAAATCGCTAAAGACGCTACAGAAAACAAATTGATTTGTTTTCATTTGCGTTTTTTTTGCCGAACGCTACACGCTTTTGGTCGGGCCACTCCTATTATATAATCCTGTTATTTTGTTTTAGTCGCAAAAGGCGCTTCACGCTAAAAACTCAAAAAATGCTTTCTGTGTGGCCGGGCTAAAACAGTGCTTATTATCCCCAAACAACATTTGTGGGATAAGGCGGGTTTTGCAACTTGACGCCTCAATTAAACGCTCCTTTTATACATAATTATGAAGTGACAGTTAACTGTCATTTTGATTGAATTTGCTGTTTAAGCGGAGTGTTTTCTGAGTTATTAATCTTATTTTCCAGCATTCGTACGGATTTATTCAGTGTTGCGAACGCCAGGCCCGTCTCTTTTTCCACTTCAGCCAGTTCAGCGGCAACATCGAGCATCTGAAGATCGGCGATCCGGTGGAATTCGAAATGACGTACGACAGACGCACCGGCAAACCGATTGCCAGTGCCGTAACAAAAATCGCTCCAGAGGTAGTAAGTAATTATATATTTGGGGGAAGGCTTGTGCATTATTTTAATTGATCGGGCCCGATCGTTTGAAAGTTGGAACGCTTACGCCGGAACATTTGAACTACTTTTGTATTTCTGTACGCTTTGGATTTTTTTCTTTAATGAGGGTTGATTTAAGTTGTTTCTTTTAAGTAAATATATTAAAGGGAAATACAATTAATGGGATTGTTTATAAAGTAGAAGGTATTGTTATTGGCTTAGAATGTTTTTGAGTACGAGCTAATCGAAAATGCATGATATAATAGCGGTGAAAATCGCAATCGTTCCGCACCATTGATATTGGTCCTATATTATAAATATACCATCCTGGACACTTCATCTGCGTGGTCTGTATTTTAATGCATGCGACATAGATAAGTATGAATGACCAGATGACAGACAGAGAGACAAAATAAAAAGCGGCATACAGCGTTTAGTTTTTACGTATGTAGAAAAAAATAAACTATTTTAAACTTTCATGCATACTACTGAAATGAAGATAAATATATTTACGCTAAATATAATCTATTAAAGCTGTAGTAAAATAAGTAACTAACTATTAGTGAAAAATAAAGTTCCAACCCTAGATGCAACATTTTTCATTAAGGCCAACTTGTGCGGTTTAAAATTTTGATGCTAAATCCAATCCTATCAATGTATCAACCCAACTTATCTCTTTTTAATACATTTGATGTTTCATTAAGCTGTCTACATCACTGTCTTACACGTTAAAATCTAGACCACGCAGTTTCGATGACCAAATCGGTATATGACCAGTAGACAGACAGAGAGAAAAAATAAAAAGCGCCATGCAGTATTGCCGGTTCGTATATGAAATAATATATTAAACGAAGATAATATATCTAATGTATTTATTAATTCTCAATTGTGTTAGACAGTTGGTTTACAACTTGGATTAAGAAATCTGCAGTCATTCTTTACAAATGTCATAGGAATAAATATTCATTTGTTTGTTTGGATTAGTCAAAAATAGTGCTAGTAATCGTATTTTAAGTTGTAAAGCTTTGTTTTAAAACTACGCAATGTCACGGGCTACACGCCATACAACCAATAAAATTTGTACTGAATATAGTACAAATTTTATCAGCTGTCAATTTTGAGACTTAGTTACTAAACTATCAACAATGATTGTTTGTCTTGTAGTTTCGCCAGTCACACAACGTAGTTCTGAGACCGAGGCTTAAAAAGAATCTTTTGCGGCTGTAGAAAAATGGGTAACTAATTGTGGACATTATGAAGGCCTAACTCTTGATGTAACATTTTTCGTAAACGCTTACTTGGCCGGTTAGAAATCTTGATGCAAAATTCGGCAATACCGCATAGATGAAATGCACCAACAGAACTTTTTTTTCTTTTTAATACATTTGATTTTTCATTATGTCCTCCTCACTGTCTTACACGTTAAAATCCAGACCACGCTTCTAAGGTGAACTGATCTGTATATCGTCCTCTTAGATTAGTCTATGCCGATTTTCTTCAAAGTTGATATTTTCAGACAACTATATAATAAGGCCTTGCGGATTGAATGCAGAACTAATCTGTCCTGTCCTATCGTGGTAGCTCGTACGCGGTTAAGAAACCGACATAACTTTATAGCGTTTTTTAAACAACTACCACTGCGAACGGCAGCTTTTCATCGGAGAGCAGTCGTGGATAAGGTATTTCACTGGAAAGGAAACCAATTAATAACAATAAACGAAAAATATAGATATTGGGCGCCAGGCATGAACAGAGTAAGAAAACACAGTTGCATATTACTTAAAACTAAAACTATATTTATTCATGATGTTCTTTGATGGTAAATAACATTGTAGAATTTTAATCATTATAGTGATTAGTTTATGTTGAAGAAAGTTATGTCAAAAATAATATTAAATACGTTCAATGAAAGACTATGGAAAATACAATATAGATAGAGCTATAGAAAATATAAAAAAGGTAGCATTACTTTAATTAATTTGTTAAATTTTATACGATATTAAATCTAAGATGTTGCAAGTCGTAGATTCTAGAATCGGTTCGGTTATTCGTCTGTTAAAATAACGCTATTTATATATAGAAAGTAATACTATTACAAGACGTAATGTTCGCAAGGAAACTAAGATCTAAATCATATTTTAAATACTAATCTGACATAAAAAAGTTAACCGCTAGATGTAAAGTCTGTACGATATTATTCAAGATGTATATTATTGTCTTAAGACTGAAAATGTAACACATGAAAACCAGAACTTAAATCTAAACTTAGCTGATTGTTCTTGAGGCAATCCTGCTTCAAACAGTAGCAGCGTGAGGTGGGACTCGTATCTCTATACTCTCTCCGGCCAATGCAACAAAAGGAGCCAGGATGAGGACACCATGAACCAATACATCCGTAACTATCGACTAGGCTTAAAAACAGGAACGAAGCAGCATGGAGCTTACGCTACATCCATGCTGGAGCACTCTATACATAAGAGAAACCATCCCTACATGGGACACTCGTCCACAGGACATCTGTACATAGGAACACTACCCGTACGTTGGAACACTACTAAGACCTTGGATAATGCCCGTACCTTGGACACAGTCCGTATCTTGGACCCTAAAAATACGAAACTCGTGTTTAAAACCTACCAAGGTGTAATAAACACAATAAACGTACCTCGAAATACTTCCGAAGGCTCAATTATAAACAAAAGAACTGTCCTTTCTTCCATTTAACATTCTGGAGGACAAAAGAAAACCAACGTGTCAGCAAACACCAAATACGAGTTGAGGCGGGCCAATCCAAAACTCTACCCTAAAAATACGCAGTAATAATATCGAATCAAAAAAGATAATATCTTATTTTTACCTGTAGCTTCGAAATACTAGCTGATTCAAATTATACAGAAAGATTTAAATAATTGCAATTTCTCTAAGCAGGGTTTTGAAGGTGACCGTCCGGCCAGAGGCCAGACCAAAAGTGAAGTTAAGCGCGGAGAGCGAAACCTTGAAGCAATGTTGACAGCGCCTCCACAGAGCAGTGAAACGATAACAGGATTGTTGACTAGAGAACGTAAAAATTACGCCAAGCGCCTCAAATAAAATATCAAGCCTGATCGATACGGAATCCGGTGACGATACGCCAGACATCATATATCATATATAAAAAGATATGTAACGAACTAAAAACGTTACAGCTTAGGTTAGTTCTGCATTCAATCCACAAGGCCATATTATATAGTTCTGCCTGAAAATGTCAATTTTGAATAAAATGGACATAAGCTAGTTCTAATCTAAGGGGACAATATACCGTAAAAACATGGTATGTTGCGTTAAAGTTATTAATGAAAATCTAGCAGAATTAGCTGAAAAAGTTTAATCCTGACCACTGAACATCAGAAATGTAAAGTTCTTATAAATAGATGTGTACAAATCCCTCAAAAATTTTTAATAAAACATTAATTATTCATTTTCAAATTTCAAACCTAATTTACTAAATTTTAATAGAGTAAAGTAATTTTTAGTATTTCGTAACCTAAAACACTTTCAAATTAGCGATAAATGGAAAAGAACTATAGTTTTTCTAAAAAAAATTAAGATTTCTAAGACAATATTATGAATTAGACTGTGATCAGTCTCTGAACTGTTTCGTAACTTTACTTGCCAGGCAAAGCTGTTAAAATAAAATCGCATTTCTATATTTTCATATCTGTGTGTTCTTTATCTTATCTATTCTTGTAATTCCTGCTCATTTAATTGTTTATATACAGTATAAAATCAAATGATACAAATATAATAAATATAGTTGTATTTGTAACTTTCTATAACTTGAAATGGTTGATTTTTTACTTGCATCTTGTACGTAAGTAAAGGAAAATACCAATACGGACAGTAAAATTTGTGCATGTAGTTTGCTTGTTGTTATACACATATTGCTTTTATATTATTTTTTGAGTATTTTTTAAGTAATATCTTTCTTTAAAATAACATATATATGATCAAAATATGTAATTCAATTCATAAAGATTCAATTTTATCATGGCACTCATTATTTGTTTCTTGCACTCGTCATATATTAAAAGATTCTTTTATATACAGGGTAGCCCATCGAAAACGTTCCGCAAGGCATAACGGCCAGGGTAATTTTTTTTTCAGAAAATTCAAATACACGTCAATTTTGTTTGTGAGGGAGACAACTTTTGCCCCAAAAATGATTGCAAAATCTTCAGCCCTCTAAGCGGGGGTGTCATCCGAAGGGGGGTCAAATGGCAATGAAAAGCGCTTTCTATTCTCTATATTTTCCCGCTTCGTTTTTGAAAATCGGTCTAGTCATTGAGAAAATATGAAGGATTGAAATTTGAAAAGTTTATTTAAACATTTATCAGAGTAAATGATGAGGATAAATTCCTTCGATCAATTTGCTGTTTTTTGTTATTATTTCTAGATGTTTTCGCATTTTTTCACTTGCCACAAGGTTGAATGATCAGGTGCAGTAGTTGCTAGATAGCTGTTCTGTGTCTTGTGCGTTGAATTTCTCAATACCGTTAAACTTTTTAACAATTATGGTGTACTCACTTGCAGAAAAAGTGGAAATAATCGAACTTTATTTTAAAAATAATGAATGTGGCAATCGGGTTGCGCAGATATTCAATGAACGCCATCCTAACAAACGCCTTTATGGCAAAATTGTTCGCGAGTTAGTAGTAAAATTTCGCGAAACTGGTTCCGTTATGAATAAAAAGAGGCAGAGGGAAAATCCTGTAGTAAATGAAGCTATGGAGGTATTCGTATTAGGCCAAGTTGCCAAGTACGCTGAGTACAAGAAAATTAGCCAATGAGACCGGCGTAAATCGTACAAGCGTCCAAAGGATATTAAAAAAAGTTCCACCCGTACAAAATTCAGTTGGTACAAGAACTCAACGAAGACGTTTTATAATAAAGTAAAATAAAGTTTATTTTTAAAATAAAGTTCGATTATTTCCACTTTTTCTGCAAGTGAGTACACCATAATTGTTAAAAATTTAACGATATTGAGAAGAACTTCAACGCAGAAGTCACAGAACAGCTATCTCGCAACTACCGCACCTGATCGTTCAACCTTGTGGCAAGTGAAAAAATGCGAAAACATCTAGAAATAATAAGAAAAAAACAGCAAATTGGTCGAAGGAATTTATCTTTATCATTGTGCGCGTTCAGGGACGGTCAGCGGCTGAGTGGCTGAGTAAAGCGGTTCCCTAAACGGTCTCTTTTTACACACAAAAACAGTCAACCGCTGAGCAAAAGTCTCAGCGGTCAGTCAGCCGCTGTGTTCCCTGAACGCGCACATTTACTCTGATAATTTTTTAAATAAACTTTTCAAATTTCAATCCTTCATATTTTCTCAATGACTCGACCGATTTTCAAAAACGAAACGGGAAAGTATAGATAATAGAAAGCCCTTTTCATTGCGGTACCACTTGACCGCCCTTCCCATTTGAAAAAAATTGGGGGATGACACCCCCGCTCAGAGGGTTGAAGATTTTGCAATCATTTTTGGGGCAAAAGTGGTCCCCCTCATAAACAAAATTGACGTGTTTTTTGGATTTTTTGAAAAAAAATACCCTGGCCGTTATGCCTTGCGGAACGTTTTCGATGGGCCACCCCGTATAAGGGTGTCCATATTTTTACTAATTTCTGTTTTGGTTCAATAATTTAGAGAAAAATTGCATGCTCACATTTCGTATAAATCTTTACACAGGGTATAAATAAATTTACGTACCAAACATTTTTGAAAGTGATTGTTTTTTTTTTAAATAAGAATGGATTTTCGTATACAGTTATTTGCTTATATACGGCGAATCAAAACTACGTTATTTTCCTTAATCTCACTTTAGACAAATCCGTGTTTCACATTGACCAGGAAAGGCAAACAACGCAACATAAATAAAGCAAAATATTTTATTAATAATAATTTCAATAATTTACACCGGAATTTTATGCCTTAAAAGCAGGGTTGGAAAAAATCATGATTTTTAAAAAAGAAAAGTCAGATTTTTTTTAATTTAAATCAGATTTTTTTTATTTTAATTCAAAACAATATTTGAATCGGATTTCCAAATGACTAGGACTTATTTCCAATTAAAGACCTATCCTAAATGGCTAAATCTATACCCCGATAACGATAACATTAACAATTCTACGGGGCGTGTAATAAATACCAAAATACAAAAACAATATCACAAATATTTATTATTTTTCAGGAGACGCTGGTTATTTAACATAATTTGACACAAATAACCTTTAATTTGACAAGAGTTTGACAAGTTTCAAAAATCTTAAGTCGAGTTCATACGCATCTGCGACCGAAATGAATCAATAAGACTGGTTAAAAAGAACAAAAGACGACGCATGACAGATTTATATATAAACCCTTTCATAGTTAAAACATTAGATATTTTTTTAGTGAAATAATTCTGTCATTGTTTATCAAAATCTTTCCCGAGTCGTAAAACGGAATATAGTAGGTAATGACTGTTCACCCAGTTTTAAGCAAATATTATCTTTGTGAGGAAATAATATATGAAAAACCCCTCTTATTTTTCGACAAACAATCATTTCATGGATTTTCGTAGATTGCGTCAAATTTATTAACTCATCAAATTTAATAAAGATACAATCAATTTAACACTTAAATGTTGTTATATTCCAGGTAATGAGTGAAGAGCGTGTAACCGGTACCGTTACGACAGAGGTTAGGGGCGAAGGCTCGGGGGGAGACACTATGGGCAGGATCAGCTACGAGAATAGGGGCGAGTGCTTCTTCCTGCCTTATACGAAGGACGACGTAGAGGGAAACGTAGTTTTAAGGTCTGGAGATAGAGTTAGTTTTCAAATTGCCACCAATAACAGGTACTTTCATAATTCGCTTTATTTAAACCTTTGAATAAAAAGATTAAGGAAGGAGTATAATGCTATCCATGTGTTCATGCATGGTCGATGGAACGAGGACTCTTGGGTGAGGATCCTTGACAGTTCTGTTGACACATTTTTTCTTCACAGTTTGTTGACGATTCATTAGACACATTTGAATTTGATTTGAAATTTTGTAGATTTGTTAGTCTTTACTGAGCTTATCTTATGTTATTATTTATTCTACTACTGATAGTTGTTTAAAGGTAGTAAATCTAGAAGGAAATCGTGGCAGAACTTAAATTAACAGTGACACTATTGCGATTTATCGAAAAAGACTGTAAAATAGTTGGTTGTGTAGCGTGCGGTAGATCTCCGTCAAAAATCGAGGGAAATAATGGAATAACTTTTTGCTAGTAAGTGACTATATAAAAAAACGATCATTTATGAAATTCGCTTAAAATTAACTAATTATATATTTTTTCTTGTATTTTTGCTTATATTTACTACTTGTCAAAGAATTTAGATACTTCATGTCAGTTTGACTTACCTGCCTCAGTAGAGCATCGGATGTTTATGTTAATAAACAATTAACACAAACTTAACACTTCACATAGCTTATCTATTTTTATTAGAATTATAAATACATTTTTATAACAGTTTTAATAACTACCCCACGTCTACCCTACATCAACCTACATCATATTTTTACACGTTTTGAATAAAATTTGAAGGCACTGATAAACCGGAATTTAAGTCGGCCATTTTAGGAGCCCGTTGGGTTCGATATAAGATTTTTGATATGTTTCTTCCTTAATTTTTTTATTCGAAGATTTAAACAATTATTTTTGTTACTAAATAGGTTGTCTGGTAACTATCAGATCAATCAGAACACTGTAATAAGGAACAGATGTCATGGTAATCACTTTGAAACACCTTTTTTGTCATTTTTATTTGACTTTATTTGATCTTTTTTCTATGATATTAAGAAGCCGTCCTATGCTGGAAAATGCGACCTGTAAGGTCTGTTAGTAATGTTCTATGTTCTATACAGTGTGTCAATTTTAAAACTTCCCACTGTTAATATCTTTCTTGCAGTTAAAAATTTGAAAAATTGGAAAGACACCTCAATTTTATTAGTAAGGGGGACACTTTAAATGAATATTTTTGGCCTTTTTCTTTCAATCCCTTAGGAGGGGTAGATGTCACCCTTACAATCTTAAATGGGAATGGGGGTCAAGTGGCACATCGTTTTAAAGGACATTTAATTCTCTTCTCAGCGGTATCCTACTTTGTTGCTTTTTATCCAGAGATTTTCTAATAATCGCATTTCAAAGATGCAGAAACAATTAAACATGCCTGCATTGAGATTTTGGTTTTTAGGCTAGTGTTTACACAAAAATTATTGCAGAGGATCTCCTTGTAGTACAAATGATTAGCAGGTTAGGCAACATGGAAGTAGCCATTACATTTTTCTAGAAGGTCGAAATCCGAAATACTAATAAACAGAAAACATCATAAACATTAACGTTTCCTTTCTCAAATTCGAATGAGTGGCAACCTCTAATCAGTTTCACAGGAGGAATTGTTAACATAACATTTAAATTGTTAACTCCAGCTCATTATTTTTTTCCGGTCCGACAGTGGTTAAACGAGAGATTTGCAGGTACATGGATTGGCAGAAGGGGACCAACTGAATGGCTTTCAAGATCACTTAGACTTTTTTTGGGGGGGGGGGGACATCTTAAATCCATTGTTTATAAAACACAATCTACAGAATGCCAAAACACAAATCAGAATGCCAGTCAATTCCCGGTGAAATTTTCCGAAATGTTAGGGAGGTGTTTGACAGACTTTATTACTGTTTACGGGAAAATGGACAACATTTTGAACAACTTATAAGATAGGGCGTAAGTGGTGTAACCTAATCTTCTAAACATTTGTACTACAAGGAGATCCATTGCAATAACTTTTGTGTAAACACTAACCTGAAAACCAAAATCTGGCACGTTTAATTGTTTCTGCACCTTTGAAACCCGATTATTCGGAAACCTCTGGATAAAAAGCAATAAAGTAGGATACCACTGAAAAGAGAATTAAACGCCCTTTAAAACGGTGTGCCACTTGACTCCCATTCCCATTTAAGATTGTAAAGGTGACATCTACCCCTCCTAAGGGGTTGAAAGAAAAAGGCCAAAAATATTCATTTTAAGTGTCTCCCTTACAAATAAAATTGACGTGTCTTTCCAATTTTTCATATTTTGAACTGCAAGAAAGATATTAAGGGTGGGAAGTCTTAAAATTGACACACTGTATATTACACACACATTTCCACGCTACCTATGAGGTAGTGTACTCGGCGCGTTTCTTTAACGTGGTTTTCCCGGTAGGCCTATTACACTAACGTTTTTGACGAAGTTTTATGGGAATATAATCTAATCTCTAATTCTTTGATTCTAGTTATTGATTTCTCTTGATATTTTAGTCTGATTCATAACTTTCGAATTCAGCTTCAACAGTCATGTATTCTTTGATTTCTTGTTCTCCTCCTTCTTGTTCTTCGTGTATGTTCACAAATTTCTCAAATGAACATGTCAGCTGTCTCTTCTACATCAACATTCGAGCAAGACTGACCTATGCGATTAGTATATGCTGCTGAACAAAGTAATCCTACTTATCTGCATTCACATTTAGCACTACAGCTTTTTTTGCAGTTGCAAAGAATAGTATTAAGGAGTTTTCCCGAAGCAGGTAGCAGTAAAGTTTGAATCGGTTCCAAAATACTATCAGTTAATTTCCAACCCCAGTCTTCTGGGTTCAATTGATTACCTAGCCATATTTGAACCTGATAGTAGACTCGATGCAAGTGTTGCTGAGCTGAAGCCGATGTCGGAGGAAGACAAGATACGTTTTTTTTAATACCTCCTTCTCTTTTTCCACTAGGGGTAACTTGGGTGCGTGCCACGTTCGTCTAGAAAACCCCAAACATCCTGTCAAGTATCAAGGAGTGGTGTGTTCTCTGAAGGACAGTTTCGGGTTCATCGAGCGCGCGGACGTGGTCAAAGAGATCTTCTTTCATTTTTCCGAAGCCAAAACCAAAGAAGAGCTCCGATTGGGCGACGATGTGGAATACATCATTCAAACAAGAAATGTAAGTCGAGCGTAGACGTTTTATGTTATTAAGAGTTTAAAATCAAAAATATGTTTTTTTTTAATTCGAAAATTTTCTAATGCCGTTTTTTAGGGTAAAGAAGTTGCTTGTAATATAACCAAACTACCTCCTGGCACCGTTATTTTCGAGGACCTGAAACCCGACACCCTCAAAGGACAAGTGACGAAGGCGATCGACAAGAATTTGAGGTCGACCAACGAGCCTCTACCGGGAAGGATCACTTATAAAGTGGCGGATTCGAAAGAGATCAGGGAGATTTCGTTTAGCGAAAAAGATCAAATGGGAGATTTTACTTTAAGGTAAGATTTAAATAAAAATGCATTTTGATACCCTCACGACTATAAACCATTTTTGCGTCAAAATTGTTCTAGAGAAGTCTGACGTAATCAGTTCACGAATTTCATTTTTTACTTTAAAATTTTAGTTTAAGTTGATATACTTTATCTTACACACACCAGGGTACCTATTCTTGAGTTTCAGGGTGTAGAACTCCCGAGAGAAGTGGGCGTGGTAATCATAAAACTGGTAGTTTCCGTATTCTTGAAAAATATTGTGGGAGGGAGTAAGAAACTGGGGAGATGCTTGGGAGTTAAAAGTTCTCTTACTATACAGCGAGGGAGAGAGCAAACCTAACCCAACTTACCCTATTTTATTACTATGTTTTTTGTTTATTCGACTGTTACAGACTTAATATTTATAGATAAAAATGTTTCTTTGAATGTGTGTAAAAAATGTTTTATACAGGGTGGATAGAAATTTAAACTTGTCATTTTTAAAATTAGTAAATGTGCATTTGTTTGAGAACCAAAATTAAGGGAACTAAAAAGAGAACATTTATCTTCTCTTAATAAAAATCAATAAAGTTTTCTTATGTATAAATTACGGTTATAGTGGAATATGGATAAAAACTCCTAAAAGTATATATATGTTTTGAACAATTTCAAATTTAGATATTAGTCGTTTTTGTTTGTACCCGCTGTATTAATGTCCTTAATTTGAAAATAATACGTCTCTAAATAAAGTTTCTGTATTGACTAAAGTGCAAGACAAGCAAAAAATTCTTTTTGTTGATCTTACGGGAGGCACAAAGACTTGGGACACAAACAAATCAACCTACATTTGCAATCGTTCGAAATTTTACGTTTTAAAGGAAATTATATCTCTAGACGCGAAGTACTCAAGCCGAAGTCGCTGACCATAAAATAAGTAAGCCGCTGACTGTCAAGATTTGCTGTAATTCTATTGGTTGTACAAACCGGCAACGCTGTTCCCCGATTGTACTTCCTCCCTTATAATCCTCGGTGCGTTCGGTACTTCAAGAATACGACATTTCGTTTTCGGGGAGGTCGAGTGAGGGAGCATTCCCCGGGAGCTCCCAGGGACCACTCCCTTCTCTCGCTTTCAAGAATAGGTACCCAGGGCGAAAAACGGGTACCTTAAAATTTTAATCTATTTTAAAGTTTAATATATTTTGTTCTAATGAACCGATTTTGATGACTTTTTTTGTAGTTATTTGACTTTTTAGTACCTCTTTCTAAATTAAAAATGAGTTTCCATCCGTCAATTATACGAGAGAAAACAAAATGATATTTTGGTGAAAGTTTGAAACACCCTGTGGAAACTGTTAACAAAAGGTTTTTTTGGGGATATGTTAAAGACAGTGTTTATAAAAAACTCGACCCACTATTGTCGATAACATGAGAGCTGCTTTTCGAGGTAGAACTGCACGCCTTTTAAAATGAAAAGATCCTTTTGAAAATACAATCATTTTATGCAGTTAACAGGAAAAGAAGCATTTGGAGCATTTGATTTCATCTAGCTAATTTTTGTCACATAATTATACGTTTATATCTAGTTTTAATTGTGTAATAATTAAAATATGTTTTAAATGTGTATTTTTTTTTACCGTTGAGTATTTTACTCTAGAATCTTTAATTTTTGTTAAATTAACAAAATGTATATCACAGCCACCTAGATTTTAATCCTAAAAATTAAAATATCTAGGAAAATCTTTGTCTGAGGGATAGGCAACCTTAATAATATTTTGAAGATATATAATTTCTCCATTGAACACCGGAATAATATACTGGGCTATTTAAAATAAAGGAGTAATTTGCTTTTAAAAGTGACTAATGTTTCATACATACATACATACCGCCATTACTCGCTGACGAGTATTTGACACGCATCAGAAGATGGTCACGCAAGGCGTTTTCTTTCATGAGCTTTCCTGGACTGAAAAGCCCGATACGTGATATTATCTGTCTACCGCACTCCAGACATTCAAAAATCTCATTGCTTTGTTGCCTCTTTACTTTTTGGTTGTCGCTCTTAACTGACTTTACAATTCTTCTCCATTCCGTTCTATTGTGAGCTGCCTCTTCCCACTCATTCTGCTTGTTAATTCCCTTTAAGTTTTCGTGGAAAATATCCCTGAACCTTTTGAGTTGTCCACCCGGCCTCCTCTTACCGTCTACAAGCTCACCGTAAATCAGAGATTTTGGTATGCGGTTTTCTTGCATTCTGCATACGTGACCAGCCCATCTTAAGCGGGACTTTGTAATCATGACTTCAATACTCTCGCAGTTAGCTTTTTCAAGGACCGATACGTTTGAGATATGATGGAACCATTTTATTCTTAAGAGTTGTCTAAGGTGTCTCTGTTGCAACTTGTTTAATGCGTTCATGTGTCGACGGTACGGCACCCAGGTTTCGCTTCCATATAACATGGTGGGAATTATTATCGCTCGGTACACCGCAAGTTTCGTTTTTGTGCTCAAGCCATGATTGTAGAAAACCCTGTCTTTTAATTTCCAGAATGCTCTTGAGGCGCTTCTAATCCTGTGCTGAATTTCACAGTCGATATTGGTCTTTTTCGAAATCAAACTGCCGAGGTAATTGAATTCCGCTACATATTCCAACAGCTCATCTCCGATTTTTATAGCATTGTTGTGATCTTTCGGGGGAGTGCACATGATTTTAGTTTTATCGATGTTGAGCTTAAGTCCCAAGGCCTCGTATGCCCATGTATATGTGTTCAACATTTCTTGCAATTGCTGTAACGTATTTGCAACTAGAGCACAGTCATCAGCGTATTGAAGTTCTGTGATGAATTTTGTACGTGTTTTTGCCCTGAGTCTTTTTATGTTGAACAGACCGCCGTCGTATCTGTATCTAATGCCCAAACCTCTCTCCTGCAGTTTGCTGTCCACTATAATGGAGAGCGCTGCCATGAATATATTGAATAGGAGAGGCGCTAAGACACATCCCTGCCTAACGCCTGTGTTTGTTAGGAAGGGATCGCTCAGGTGATTCATGATATGACACTCTTGATTTGTTGTTGTTATGGAGGCTTTTACACACTGTAAGAAATTTGATGGGTACTCCGAACTTTTTCATAATTGCCCAAAGTGCATCTCTGTTCACAGAGTCGGAGGCTTTTGTTAGGTCGATGAATGCAACGTAAAGTTTAGACTGCTGCTCTTTTACTTTTTCCTGTAGTTGCCGGATGGAGAATATGGAATCGACGGTACCGCGGTTGGTGCGAAAACCCGTTTGCGACTCTGGGAGGATTTTTTCTATATGTGGGTGCAGGCGGTTTGACATAATTTTTGTAAGAATTTTTCCTCCGATAGCCAGTAGTGAAATTCCTCGGTAGTTTCCGCAGTCTGATGCACTTCCTTTGTTCTTAAATATATTCACTATATTCGCATTGCAAACGTCCTGAGGTACCTCTCCGCTTTCCCATATGACATCAAGGAGAGCCTTAAGATGACCAATAAGTTCTTTACTTGCACACTTATAGATTTCCGCCGTAATCGCGTCACAGCCAGCTGATTTGTTGTTTTTAAGCTGTTTTATGGAATCCTTTATTTCCTGTTCTGTTATTGGAATGTCTAATACATCGAGGCTGTTATACTGAGGTATTATGTTGAGTGCTTCTATATTGGGTTTGTTTTCTTGGTTAAGAATATGGCTGTAATGCTCTTTCCAGCGGTTTCTGATTTGCTCTTCCTCTTTTAGAAGTTCGCCATTTTGTGCCATGATTGGGCATCTTGCCTTCTTAGTTGGACCGTACACTTCTTTTACAGCCTCGAAGAATTTACGATAGTCGTGATGCGTGGCATACTCCTGAATCTGACTAGCTTTTTGCGACCACCAGTTATCCTTTAGTTGGCGCAGGTTTCTTCGGAGTGTGTTGTTGACTGCCTTAAAGTTGTCTGCTAGTCTTGGATTTTGTGGATTTGCAGTGACAATAATGTTTCATATTAATTAATGTTTCATATTAATTTTGTCTCACCCTGTATAACTTTTCGGGTCAAATTTCAATTTTGTTACAATGGTTACTGTAATTAAATATCAGGCTATACAAGGTCAACTAAAATTTAGGTAGCTGTTATCGAAATTTAAAATTTACTCAAATTTTAATTTCAACTTTAATTTTTACAAAATGTGAAACATGTCAAAATCCTTAGATTTTAGGTATATGCCTCTTTAATAAAACTCACCTTTATTTTTTTCCTAGAATCCGAAAATCAATTAATATATAGGGCGTTCCATTAGAAAAAACACAACTTTGATGTGGAACTTTTTTGGGGACACCCTGTATAATTGTATATATTTTTATAAAATGCTTTCAGTTAATCTACGTATGCTGCCAAAATTTTATTTCAATATAAACTACCGTTCTCCTTGGAGCCTCCGCGGCGTATGAGAGGCGCCACCCTGTATATTACTGTTATATGTCATTTTAAGTTAAAACTTTGTATTGTTTGTTTGGTTTTTTTTAATTTTCATCTGTCTGTGAAATGGTATATTCTCTCACAAAATAGAGTATATTATGACTTAGTTTAATTGATGAATAATAATAATAAAATGGTCTTTATTTCCAAACCAGTAAATAGAACAATTTAATTATGTATAATGACAGAGGATAAGTAATAATCAATAATGTTTAATAAGGAATGTTTTAATAGATATGGAGATTGGGTCAAATTTCAAATTGCAACTGACAGAAGAGACGCTTTGGATCGTGCCACTCACATAGTATTGCTGGATGAGAGTTTTGCTGCTTCTGGAGAGAAACGGGAACAAGGTGTCGTTGCCTCATTAAAAGAAGGTGAAACAACGAACAAAATATTTTCACTATGGTGATTTATAGCAAATACTTCATTTAGGTTTTGGATTTTTAAAATGTGTCGACCGGGAACCTAGATTATTTTTCCATTTTAACGAAATTTTGGATGTGAACAAGACAAACGAACTTCAGGTGGGTGATGAATTCGAATTTACGGTAATTCAAGATCCAACCAACGCATACTCATCAACCTCTCACAAGGACAACAGGCAGAGTGCTATTAGAATGAAATGGTAAATATGATTCAAATTTTAAATACTATACAGGGTCCGGCAATAGTGCGTCGGGCATCTCTAGCTCCTAGAATAAAAAACTTTGGAATTTTGTTTAAGTGCAAATCTAAAGTATATTCCAGGATGTATTTCAGGAAAATATGTTTACTTCTATAGGGTGGCTCAAAAAAGTGTGAGTGGATTGGGATGATTTTTTTGAATGGAACACCCTGTATATTCTTGCATTTTTGGCTTCCTTTCAGATCACTTTACATAATCCTAAGATATGAGTAAATATATTTCCATAGTTTCAGAGATATTACTAAATAAAAAATATATTTTTCAGCCTTTGTTTAAGAAAATTATTAAAAATACAAGAACTATCCTGAAATCAAAACTATATTAAGTATTTACTTTAAATGTCTATCTATACTTACATTGCTTTAAATAAATATCATAAAATTCTACGCCAAACTTTCTAAAATATAAAATAATTTTTCATTTTTTTAATTCACGGTTTTATATTTCATATGGCATTTTCCATAGTAAATTTTTATCAAAGCCACCCAATTTTTCTCTCGGTAAGTTTAAAGTTTAAAATTATGAAATAATACTGCGTGTATTTTCGAAACAATTAAAAATTTTGAAATACTTTAAATACGAAAAATGTTCATTTCTAAATTCTCCATTTAATAAAAAATAATATACAGGGTGTTCCATTTTAAAAAACGAAGAAAAATTATTTTATATTTTAGAAAGTTTGGCGTAGGATTTTATGATATTTAAAGCAATGTAAGTATAGATAGACATTTAAAGTAAATACTTAATATAGTTTTGATTTCAGGACAGTTCTTGTATTTTTAATAATTTTTTTTAATGAAGGTTGAAAAATATGTATTTTTTATTTATTTATTAATATCTCTGAAACTATCGAAATATATTTATTCATGTCTTAGGATTATGTAAAGTGATCTGAAAGGAAGCCAAAAATGCAATAATATACAGGGTGTTCCATTTTAAAAAAAAATCATACCAATCCACTCACACTTTTTTGAGCCACCCTGTAGGAGTTAAAATATTTTCCTGAAATACATCCTTGTACATACTTTAGGTTTACACTTAAACAAAATTCCCAAGTTTTTTATTCTAGGTGCTACAGATGCCCGACGCACTATTGCCGACCCTGTATACTGGGTGCGTCTCAAAAGTGTGTGACTCACCTCTATAACTTTTTTATTTTTTCAGATAAAAAAAAGCATGGTATGTTAGTATACAGGTTGTTAATTTGTTCATTACTCGCGGCAAGAGCTTTATGGTCGAAAGATGGCAACTTCGGCCCGCTCGTCGACAGACGAAGCAGAAAAATTAATAATGCATGGGTTCTCAATGGGCAGTGTTGCCATTCTGTTCCCCTATAAGTAACTGTCGAGTTAACAACATGTATGACCTAAATTAGGATTGGTTGACGTATTCATTTGTTTTTGGTCACTTCCTGTTTTCCCAGAAATGATTACAACTTTTGATTTTTAAATGGCACCCTCGGTATTTTTATACTTTATTCGATAGAAAATGACATTCTGAATAGAATGACATATCATATGTCAATATTTGACATTCTCTTGTGGCTCATTAGCATATTTGGAAAGAGCATTTTTTTACGAATAATTTGATATCACACATTTGGTATTTTTTTTGCCATGAGAACCTGTCCAACAGCAGCAATGGAGGTCATTCTAGATCTAACACCACTGCACATTGTCATTGGTAGATATGCCAATGCGACAATGATTAGAATGGTCACTAACGGAATTAGTACTGGGAGAATTGTCAGATCAGGGGCTTGGAACACCCTCAAAAAGGAAATACCACTCCTGCAACTCCCAGTGGACGATATGCCAAGAACGTACAACTTTGACAAACATGTCAATGTAGTATTGAGCAATAAGAAGGATTGGAAGAGCGAAACGCTTGCCCATCAGTTAAAAGACCATACCATAACTTGGTATACTGATGCTTCCAAATCCAATACGGGAACAGGGATCGGAGTGTTTGGGCCGAGAGCTAATTACTCCGAACCAATGGGCCCTAGTATCCTACAGGCAGAAATCTACGCTATCGAGAGATGCGTACAACTTATCTTAGATAGGAACTATCGGACACAAGAAATAGCCATCTTATCTGATAGTCAAGCAGCGTTAAAGGCGATCAACTCAGTATCAATCGATTCGAAATTGGTCAAAGAATGCTTAGAGAAGCTGAATAAATTAGGCAAAGAAAACAAAGTCCTCCTACACTGGGTGCCTGCTCACCAAGGGATAGAAGGCAATGAAAAGCAAATAATCTAGCTAGGAAAGGAGCGAACACTCCACTAACTGGACCAGAACCGTTCTGCTTTCCAAGTGGTAACCAACTCAAGGCGGAACTCAAGAACTTGGAAGATTCCATCCGCAACCTGGAATGGAAATCTTGCAATGGTCTAGGACACTCGAAGAAGTTTCTGAGGGCTTATGATCAAGAAAAATCACAGATCTTCCTGGGTCTGAGTAAGAACGATCTTCGGATTGTCACTTTTTAACAGGACACTGTCTCCTCAATGAACACCTCAGTAGATTGAAACTAAGAAGAAACGGCGAATGCAGATTCTGTGGGGAAGATGGTAAAACACCAGTACACCTCATCACTGAGTGCGCCGAGACGACAACCATTCGTGGCATGAATTTTGGTACGACTGATATTGGAGATGGAGAACTACCCTCTATAAAACCGTCCCAGATACTGGCTTTTGTCAAAGCCCTGGGACTGTATGATGAGTTATGATTCAAGAAAGGGGGACACAATGGACCTGTAAGGTCGAAGTGATTAACCCCCCTCCCACTCATTCTAAATTCTAAAATTCTAAATTTGGTATTTTGAGTCAAATTTTTGTTACGAACCGCAAATTATAATTTTAAATAAACCATATGCGAAAATCTCAAAAGCTGACATATGATATGTCATTCTATTATTAATCTGTTATTTTCAGTCGAATAAAGTAAAAAATACCGAGGGTGCCATTTAAAAATCAAAAGTTATACTCATTTCCGGTGAAACAGGAAGTGACCGAAAACAATTGAATACGTCAATCAATTCAAATTAATGTCATATACTAACATACCAAATCTCGTTTTTTTATCTAAAAAAATAAAAAAGTTATAGGGTGAACCCGAAGGTGAACCACTTTTGAGACGCACCCGGTATAATTAAAAAATAACACCGATTTCAATATTACCACTATTTATGGCATTATTATTTTTGCATTTAATTTTTTTAAAATAGACTTTATATTTCATGTTATTTGAAACTTCTTTACGCGCGCTATGAGTAAAAATTCAAGGCCGTGATAGTTAGTAAGATGTTTCACTTCAAATTTGCACACACATTTTTTTTTTAATGTTATAGGTTGCCTCCGGGAACGGTTCAATTTGAAATCAAGATTGACAGCGATTTGACAGGAGCCATAACCAAGGAAATCCCAGTGAACAATTGGCCCAACAGAAGTCCTACCAAAAACCAAAGCTTTAACGGATGCGAACAAACTGAGCCCGGACTGATAGGCTACGCAGTCAACGGCATCAAAAAGACAATTACGTATTATGCCAAAGATTATGATATTAAACATCAACCGAGGATCGGAGACAAAGTTAAGTTCGATATACACCAAGTCAAGAGAACGAAGGAGTTTATAGCGGCCAATATACAAGTGACGCAACCCGCAGTACAAACCAACGGTATCAAACATAATTTAAGGAGCAACGGGCAGGTGTACCAGGGCTTTATAGCGGCGTTGAAGGACGGTTTCGGCTTTATCGAAACCATCGAGCACGACAAGGAGGTGTTTTTCCATTTTAGTAATTTCGAGGGTGACGCCAACACTTTGGAGCTGGGACAGGAGGTCGAGTACAATTTAGGCACGAGGGGTAATTCAGGGGGTTCGTGTTCTTCGGCAGAAAATGTTAAAATTATTTCTAAAGGTAAGGTATTACTATAGCATAAATAAAGTATATACGATAATCGCAAAACAATTTCCGATGCACGTTTCCATCAACTTTGGGTGAAAAGCTATGGCAACAGCGCTGCCAGATTGCGATGGATTTATGAGATGAATCTTAATTTAAAATTGAGAAATAATATATTTATTTATATCATTTTTTAAAGATTTTTACGCTTTATTTTTAATTCAATAACTAATATTTTAGTAATTAATTGATTTATGTGTTTTATAGCTTATTTTACTTAATACATATTGGCAAAAGCTAGTCCATTATGAAGATTATTCTAAGCGTTATTTATTTATTTATTGATTTACATCTTACAACGCAATAAGTGGTAATAACAAGTAAGAGGGTGCTATTAATGCACAAACTAATAATCACAGAATTTAATAAAAACTAAGGTAGGAATAACTGTGAAAGTGGTATAATGTGGCTTATCAATCAAACTTACTTTTCTGACTACAGTCAAGAGTAATAAAGGACCTTATTGGCACGTTATTGTTCAAAATAGTTTATCAGGGAAGCTGCAAGCTCTTTGCTTCGACTGTTTAAATGCTTCAGCATATTTTCAACACACAATTTCAAGAAATGCGATAGAAAAACTCGAAAATTTAGTTCTTAACAGAACTGTTTGTGGCTAAAAGTACAATTTCTCAAAAAAGTCTATGAAAATACACAAAAAAACGAGAATTACTCACAAAGATTCAACAACACGATATTATACAATATAATGACTGACAATAGGATAATTGTCAAATAATAAACAAAAACGCTGCTGAACACGGCGCAATGTGACCAACATAGCGGTAATAAAATTCGGTTTAAATTAATTTTTGCAGCTTTAATCTAAATAAAATTGTTCTAATTCAATCATTTGCTCTATAAAGTAAAATGAAGAACTGTTCGGTATCTTAAATTATACAACAAATTTAAACATTTTTGCCAAAATTTCATTTAATCTGGTTTGTAGACTTTAGTGTCTATGCCGATATGATTGATGACGTATACCGGAAAATATTTTGCGATTACCGTATAAGCGATATCAATTAAACTTTTAGTTACATAATCGAGGGCGCGATTTTTAAATTTATTGTTGCTAACCATGGACATATTCGACTCCGTCCTGACTCAAGGATACTATATAGAGATAAGGATTGTTCGATTCCTATCCTCCTGCACTGTCAGTTTTTCAACGTCATCTAATGACCCAGTTGCATTTCGCGCCAAAAGTTTTAGACAGTGACAGTTATTTTTGCATTTGACGGACGAGCGCACAGTGCGTTGGAAGATAAATTTAGCGGGACAAAAGCGTTTGGTTAGAAATAAGCCAAAAAATGTGTACTGTAAGAATAAATAGTAGACATTCCAATTGATATAAAAATGAATATTCTTTGTATTTCGATACATTTTTATCAACCAAATTTGGTCGTTTTCTGCTCAGCAAGGCAGAGATCATACGAAAACAAAATATTTACAAGTGCTTATACATTTTATTCCAAAGCCAAATTATGTTGAAGATTGCCAAAGGTATGTACTTTTCTACTGTACGTATATTATTTGTTAAAATTCTTTGTTCTGCAGATATCAAACTTTCATTTTTTTTTCAAATATCGATATATTGAATGATGTAGATCTTTTGAGTTACCAATTGTTACCAACACAGGTAGTTACAGTCACAGGGAGTTCAAGCTTAACAGGTGAATGCCCAAAAAGTTTCATTTCAATCGGATAGTATAAAAACAAATCAACTCCATCAAAAGGCGCTGAGTTTATAAAATTGTCTTAGATACTTACTATATATGAATTTACAATTACCAAGTGTTAAAATTAAAATTAAAATATCTATCTTAATTAATATTTTTAAAATAAAATATAGAGGGTATCACAAGATTACAAAGTAATTAAAAAATAACTGCTAAAGAGTTTTTTGTAAGTATTTCACCTGATATCATAATTTTATGTATTTGGCAATAGTTTACAATACGGTTTTTGTGTGTCATGGACGAATAATATCATAGTTTTATTATCTTGTATTTATTTATTAATAAATTAAGTTGTTAATAAATAAATAAATTTAACCATATAGTTGCTATATATTAGACCATTTGCTACGTTCTTAGATTTTAAGTCCCAAACATTGCTCTTGAGATTTTGTCCCGCTAGAATAACCATCCGCCGCACTGTGGAGCGCTGGTGACGTAGCATTCCACGGCGACTACGACAGCGGCGATTTGACGCGATCGAACAGTCCTTTAGAATATATACAGTCCTTGGTCCTGACTAACTGGAATCTAAATTTCCCGCTGGGGATTCAGGTGATAGCTCTGCTGTAGAAAATGTCATGTTGCTACATTTATTTAATTATTTCCTGACATTGTCATTCGTTTTGACACTTCAGTTTTGTATTACGAGTTTTTGGTTTAAATGAATTGACTTTAAGCTTACAAATTTTTACTAGCAGACCTTGCAGTCGAACGTTGTTCTTTTTAGAACTTCTTTTAGTGCTTCTAAGTGGTAGTAGATAGCTTAATAACCAATGCAAAAAACTCATCGCATCCTTATTAGAATGTTTTGAACGGGAAATGGGTAGTAATGGCCCTTTATATCTCTTAAGTGCTGTTAAGGAGGTGAGTTTGGTTGATGTAAATAATAACAACTCTTTATATATTTATAATTGATTTATTTTGGTTTCCTGAAATATTTTGATTAAAAGAAAATATGAAAAGTGGGCAACGCTGTGCCAGTCAAGCTTAATCACGTGACTAAAAGTTTAATTGGTATGAACTATAGTAGTGTCACTCCAAAATATTTAGAGACTTTAGAAATGCGCGGCGCAGAAACTATGTGGCAGTAATATATCAAAGAATTTGACGAAGAGTAGCGTTACTAGTTTATTTATCTCATAAAATGACTTCAATGTAGTGTTTTGAACATAATACCATGTAATATATTTTAGGTACAATTGAACTACCGGCAGTTAATGGTGAGTTACTGGAGGGATTGATCGTTAGACCGTTACGATCGGTAAATCCAGACCAGCAAGAATATTCCGGTTTGATTAAAATTAAAACTGAAAACCCTGAAGAAGGATCGCAAGAATATGAATTTGGCATTATGGGATTGGTTAACAAACGAGAATTGCTTCAAGGTAAAACTAACAAATATTTTTTACAATATATTATAAAAGTGTCCACACTGTTAGAAGCAAAATCATTGATGAATTATTAATTCATACTAAATTTATAAGGGTGAGTCTTAAATAACTGCAAATGGTTTCAGGGCTAGTAGATTTCGATAAAAGAAGCATATTTTGTTTTTCAAATAAGTCAAAGTAAAATAACTGAGTTATTTTACTTCGAAAATTAAAAAACAAAGATTTTTGGTTTAAATTTTGAGAATCACAGGATCTTTTCTCAGTTTTCTTTCTTATAATTTTAATCTACTACCTATATTGCCATATTATCAAGATATTATATTTTTAAATAAAAATTTAAAAAAAACAAAAAATTTTCAAAATCCGAATTGGTAATTTTTTTCCCCGGAAAAAAAATACTCATATGAAAGGCGTGTTTCTGGGGTCGAAATATACTACCTTTAAAAATATTTGCACTTATGTAAGACTCACCCATAATGCATTAGATTGTTACCAGTTTTTTTTACTCTTAAATATAATTATTTCTTGATGTTGTCCATTGTAATATCTGCTGTTTATTAATATTTTTATTTTTAAAGATATTTTTAAACAGAGTTTGCTAACAAATGCATATATATTTTATGCCAAAGTTCAATAACGAGATATACCGATTTTAGAAGTCATTTTAGAAGTGTGGTCTGGATTTTAACGTGTAAGACAGTGATGTCAGCTTAATGGAAAATCAAATGTATTAAAAAGAGATAAAAGTTGGGTTGATACATTTCTTCTATGCGGTATTGCCGGATTTTGCATCAAAAGTTCAAACCGCATATGTTGACGTTTATGGAAAATGTTGCATCTAGGGTTGGAACCTTATTCTTCACAATTAGTTACTCATTTTACTACAGATATAATAGATTAGATATATTATCTTCATTTCAGTAGTGTGCATGACAGTTTTTAAAAAGTTTATTTTTTTCTACACAAATTTTTCCAACAAACGTAAAAACCGGCAACACTGTATGCTGCTTTTGATTTTATCTCTCTGTCTGTCAACCGGTCTTTTATATTATTCTGTGTCTTACACGTTAAAATCCAGACCACACTTCTAAAATGACCAAATCGGTATAAAGCTCCGTCTACACATAACGTTTTACCTGTCAGTCTTACCTAATCAGTCAAAATGTATTAACTAAAACAATATTGTATGTTGACGAAAAAATTGTCCTTTTCACGGAAGCTCGTCTAGATAACTGACGTTCAGTTTTACAACAAAAATGTCATTTCGTTTACACTGAAAAAAATATTTAAATTTACAAAAAATAATATGGATATATTACAGCATCTTTGACAAGCGACTTTTACCAATCTAATAATATAGCATAGTTTTACAAAATTGTGTTTTTGTAGTAAAATTCCATAGTTTTTGTTTTCAACTTCGCAGGTAAAATTTCAGTAGTACACTAGTTTTTAATCTGTTTTACCTGACAGTTAGAACGTGATGTGTAGAGGACCAACTGCCGTAAGTTTTTAATCTTCCGATTTATCTGACACGTCAAATTGACAGGTATAACGTTATGTATAGAGAGTACTTAATATTTAAATAAATAAGATATGAGTTAGAGAAGATCTTTTTAATTTTTTCTTCATTTTTTCTTCTCTGTATGACAGCATGGCAGTACAAATGGTTACCGCAATAGCCGAAAATGTACAGACCATGATTATCCAAATAATAATAAATATAACATGCTACATATTGTTACGGATTCCGTGGGTCCACTATTTAAACTCACGATAAAATACTTAACGAATTTATTTGTTTCACTTTGTACACACAACTTATACTATTTACAACACAACTTATGCAACTACTATTACTCTAACGGTATTTCGCGGTATTTTCAAACTTCAGACTATCTTCAGACTTTAGACTTCAAACTTCAAACTTGTCCAACTGTCAAAGCGCGGGCCTTATATACCCCCTGGCGGTTGTTTCTAGATTTTTCTAAAGAATTCTATAATTTTCTTTACTTTCTGGCGAATGCGCCAGGTTCCTCAATGCACGCCGCGACTATCCAGCAGTACGCAGTTATGCAACCAGTAATAATACACCTTGACATTGCCCCCTTCTCAAATTTGATCGTCCCGATCAAGGTTTCCTGTCTGGTATCTCTTCAATCGATCCAGATGAACTACTTTCATCTTACTTCTAGGGCTGCGTTGAATCCGGTACACAACATCATTTATCCTCTTGATGACTGTATAAGGACCTTCCCATGCTGGAGTTAACTTTGGGGACCTTCCTTTCTTGCGCTGTGGGTTATACAACCATACCCTATCGTCCTGTTGAAATCCCGTAGAATTAGCTCTGAGGTCGTAATGAGCTTTCATCCGGTCACTGGCTAGCGCAATCTTACTTCTAACGGCCTTATGAATGTCCAATAATCTTTCCTTCCTAGCGATTCTTTCGAACGACAGTCCAACGCTATCCTGTTCCATTTCTTCCCCAGATCGAGTACTTGGTCTTTGTCTAGCTGCGCAAATCTTACAACGTTGACACCATTTCTTAACATCTTCGCAATAATCCACCCAGTAAAAACGGTCTCTCAGCTTACTCAAGGTCTTGTTTACTCCAAGATGGGCTCCAGTTTTACCACCGTGAATTTCTTCCAATACCTGGGTGACTTTCTTCCTTGGTACCAGTAACTGAGTTGTTACTGTCCTGCCATCCGCACTTTCCCACGTGCGCTTTATCAATCCATTCTCAATCACCAGTGAATTCCACTGAGCCCAGAGAGCTTTGAAAACGAGCCCTCTGTCCGCAATATCCTGCCACGGTGGTCTCTCGCCGTTACCTTCCTTGAGCCGTAGTATTGCTCCGATGTCTGGATCTTCCATTTGATCTTTCCTCAACTGTATCGTCGTCCATTGTTCGTCAGTTCTCAGTTTAAAATTCCTTACTCTGATAGTGCTTTCGCGATGTTTCATTTTCTTGCCCAAAGTAGCTCGTCGTCGATCTGGCTCGTTGTCGATAATTTGTACCCGTCCTACACGGCACCAACGGTTTTCTCTAGTTTCCCGAACACAGTCTTTCTTGGTATCACCAGGTATCATCACAATTTTCGATGATCTTTCTTCCATATTTCCTGGTCTCTTTTCTTTAGATACAGAAAATTCCTCATTTCCGATTTTCAGGATGTTTCTATGGTGATCAAACGAAAAACCATGTTGACTGATCACATCCATACCCATGATAAAATCATCTTCAATGTCTGCCACTACAACGCTATGCCGAAACTTCAAATTCCCCTAACTCCAATTCCATGAAAGCCTCTCCCCGTACAACGTACATTTCCCCGTAACTGTACGTAAATACACTCTTCTTCTAAGAGGCATCATCTTCAATCCTTGCACTGAGTTAGTCCGCACCAACGATACCATAGCGCCTGTGTCCACAGTCATTCGAATTCTTCTACCATTGACCTTCCCGTTGATCACCAAACTGTCAGCGGTTTTTCCTAGACTCCTAACGGAAAACATCCTAGGGGCTCTGTTTTCTTCAGCCAATACTCGCTCATTAGTGTTGATTTCCTGGTGCCTATGTTCTCTCGATGGTAAACGGAATCGCATTTGGACGCGGCAATCCCGTTTGATGTGGCCATTCCTGCCATATCTATAGTAACTTATGTCCTGGGATCTTCCGATGTGCCGATGTTCTCTTAATGATGAACGGACTGGCATTTGGATGCGACAATCCCGTTGGATATGGCCATTCCTGCCACATCTATAGCACCTAATATCCTGGGATCTTCTCTGGTTCTCTGTCTGGGTGTTGTTGACTCTCTTGTTCACTAGTAATTCACATAGTTTATTAAACATCTCCTCCAAACGTATGTGAGAACTCTTTGGCTGTTCCTCAACCGATACCGAGCCTATCTTCGGTTTAGGAATGGCGCTAAATGCAGCTTCTATTTCCAGCACCCTGACGAGTACTTCGCTGCTGGTAGAAAATCGGGATATTTGCAGCGCCCTCTGCAATTCGTTGTCCCTCAGTCCGCTAATAAAGCACTGAGCAGCGAGTTCCTCCCTAAACCCTTCCGGTGCTTCTGGGTATGCTAGGTGTACCAGCCGACGTAAGTCTGCTTCAAATTCCTGCAGACTCTCTCCGGACCTCTGCAGGCGCGTCTTGATCTGGGCCTGGTAAAGTTGACGTCGATGTTGGTCGCCATATCTTCTGTCCAATGCAGCAACCAAAGCCTCATACTCCTGCTGTTGGGCTGCAGGAATAGTTTGTAGCAGTTCCAGGGCAGGGCCACGCAGCGCGATGACAAGTGCCGCTGCTTTATCCTGGTCGGTCCATCCGTTGGCAGCGGCGGCTGCTTCAAACTGGCGGTGGTACATCGTCCAGGTGGTTTGTCCATCGTAGGTGGGGGCCTTGAGGTTCGCAGTCCCAGGAACGCCAGGTGTCCTTGCATGTGCCTTGGTCTTCTGTATGTCCATCTCTAATTTTTCCATTTTCTGTTGAAGGCGCTCCTCCAGATCTTCTACGACTTCTTGGAAGTGGGCCTCTTGTCTTCGTTCCGAATTTTCGAGACTTTTCTGCATGCGGTCTTGATCTTCAATTTTGTCCTTCTGGCGACGTACTTCTAAATCTTCAACAATTTTCTCCAACCGTTCTTGTCTAATTTCTTGATTTTCTAGAATTTTCTGAACACGGTCCTGTTCTTCTTGTCTTTCTCTATGACGTCGCTCCTCCAAACGAATTTCCAAATTTCCTATTATTTTCTCAAGCCGGTCCTGTTCTTCTTGTTTTTCTTTCTTTTGACGCGCTTCTAAACCTTCTAACATTTTTTCTTGATTTTCCATAAGTATTTTCTGTAGGCGGTCTTGTTCCTCTTCTTTCTCTCTTCTCATATTCTCCATAAAATCGCCCAATAATTTGCTTACTTCCTCCATTTTCTTCGCTTGCTCCCTTGTACCAACCATAAAAATACTCTGATTCGGTCTAAAAATCTTCCAATCCACTTAATTTCTTCTTAAAATCCTCTTGAATCGCACTTCCGACACCAATTGTTACGGATTCCGTGGGTCCACTATTTAAACTCACGATAAAATACTTAACGAATTTATTTGTTTCACTCTGTACACACAACTTATACTATTTACAACACAACTTATGCAACTACTATTACTCTAACGGTATTTCGCGGTATTTTCAAACTTCAGACTATCTTCAGACTTTAGACTTCAAACTTCAAACTTGTCCAACTGTCAAAGCGCGGGCCTTATATACCCCCTGGCGGTTGTTTCTAGATTTTTCTAAAGAATTCTATAATTTTCTTTACTTTCTGGCGAATGCGCCAGGTTCCTCAATGCACGCCGCGACTATCCAGCAGTACGCAGTTATACAACCAGTAATACACCTTGACAATATTTTCACAGTCGGCGACCAGGTCCAGTTCCAAGTCGACTCGACCCACAGGGCGGCCAACATCGTAGCCCTGCGCAAGAAGCTGCGCGCCACCGTCGACGCCATCAAGGGCCACTTCGGCTTCCTAGCCTACGAGGTGGATGAGGGCAAGAAGCTCTTCTTCCATATGACTGAGGTGAAGGACAACGTTTCTCTCAGCGTAGGCGACACGGTGGAATTTGTTCTGGTCACCAATCACAGGAGCGGAAAGTCGTCGGCTTGTAATGTTGTCAAAGTGAGGTAAGCCAAAAGATTCAGACAATCATTTTTATAGAGTGACTTACGTCATCAATATTTATATGTGTTAAGGTGGATTTTCATGCATCCGTCATCTGTTGATCGCTTAAAGTGTTTTTACTTCACTGCTTATCCGAAAATTTTTAATTTCTGTTGTCCGTCAACGGAGAAAGTTGAAATAAATTTAATTTTTCTACAACCTTACTTTTTTTGTTGGCAAATTTGGGACATTTAGCGCTATTGGGAAGTGGTTATTCTCTTTCCAGTTTATATATAATTTTACATTTTAAAGATTAGTAAAAAATTAGTAATGACTGACCGTAATGACTGGTATAGCCAGAATTATTAGTGCTCTGTGCAGCTTCAAAGGACGAAAGGCTGCAAATGTCACAAATTGTATTTATTGCTCGTGTATCTTCTATTATTACACCAAACAAAAAAAGTAAATAATATGGGATTCTTACTATTGTGGGACCCAATTGTATTTGATCCCTCGTATTTGTCGCCAAAACGAAATTATCAACAAATTAAAACAATAAGTAAAATTAACGGAAATTGTTATGGAAATGAAATTGTTAAGTGTCATAAAATATTTTTGACCAATCACAACAAATTCGCATTATTCGATAAACGGGCATGAAAATGCAATAAATTTAAACACTACGAAATTTTCTGATCAATAAAAGTCTTGAAATTCAACCAATAAAATCAATATCGTATCGTAAATTCAATAACATATCGTATCATGTGCGGATATAGGATGCTTAAAAATCCTCCTTTATACTGAGAATTTTCTAATGGATTGTCTGAGACAGGGGACTATTTCATTCCTGAGACCAAACAAAAATAGACAAACTTTTCTTGTAGTTTTATTCACAGTGTTACCAATTAATAACGTAAGATGCTTTTTAAGTGGGTGTATTTTATTATAGAGCCTTCTTCAAAACGCTTGGTACATACCATATGATCCAAAGAAAAACGGTGTGAAGATGGCTTGGAAATAATGATCGATGGCATTCTCCGTATAATGTTACAGATAAAATGACAGGGACCTTCATTTCCAAGCCAAGTGCGAAAATGCAAGAATAAAAACATAACTACTAGTAAACTTCAGTCAAACTAGTAACAGATATTAGAATAACTTACTAGTAAAGAGTTGTTTCCATGTTTTTTGTTGTTTGAGAACGATCGCACGCGCTGAAGTAACTATTTTTGAAGTCTCTTTCTAGGATTCAGAATAATCTCACTGTAATTCAAGCTCTGACACAATATCTTTCCAAATTTGTACACTTTGCATAAACCAGTTATAAATACCAGTTATAAAATAAAAACAGAGAAGCTTAAGGCTCCAAAAATTCAAATCAAAAAGGAAAGGGAACATTTATTTTGTTGAATAAAGTTACCATTATTTTTTAAATACTTTAATTAACAAATTCTAAAAAGTCAGCTTAACGTCAAAAAATAGAGATCGAAAATTTTCACAGAGGAAAAAAATAATCGTCATAATTAAGTAACACAGAAAGTTACAAAAATATTTCGATAATTTTGTTCATATTTTGGGCTAGACCCTAGACTATTACCGTTTTCGAGCTGCTTAGTTCTGAGTAGTTCAAATGTCCCATATAAAAATAAAAGTTATAAATGACTTATTTGAAAGATTTTTGGCTCACCCTTCAAAACTAGTATTCAGTTATGCAGAAATGTAATAAGAGAACTTCGTTTTTGGTAATTATTTTTTTTGTTAAGTCCGTTTAATTTTTTTGTTAAGTTCGACGCCCAGAAACGTTACAAAAATATTTCGATAATTTCTTTCATATTTTGGTCTAGATCCTAGACTATTACCGTTTTCAAGCGCTTAGTTCTGATTAGTTCAAATGTTCCATATAAAAGTAAAAGTTGTATGACTTATTTGATACATTTTTTATTCACTCTTCAAAACTAGTATCTAATTATGCAGAAATGTAAAGAGAACTTTTTTCCTCTTGGTAATTATTTTTCTTTGTTAAGAGTGATGTGCAGGCATGCCTCGAAAGGTTACAAAAGTATTTCAATTATTTCTTTCATATTTTGGGCTAAATCCTAGATTATTACCGTTTATGTCTGAATAGTTCAAGTATCTCATATAAAAATAAAAATTATGAATATGGCTTATTTGATAGATTTTTCTTTTCTCTCTTCAAAACTAGTATCGAATTATACTGAACTGTAATGAAGAGAATTTTTATACCTTTCTTTTTCTTTTGGTAACTATTATTCCTTTTTCACAGTGATGTCCAAGCACGCCCAGAAAGGTTAATAAGCAGACTGAGGACCATCTCCTTGGACGACGCCGGACCCAAACTCCTGGTAGTCCGCCAGCCCAAAGGTCCAGACGGTTCCAAAGGCTTCGCCACCGAGTCCAGAACGCAGCGATTACCCGGTAACGTTCCCGAATAACCGGCCGACGCCGATTCATCCTTTACATCCAGCTCTCAAAAGAAGAAAAATCTCTCAAAAAACGCAAAAAATTCTGTTCTAAGCTAAAGTAGTCCTTCTCTTTTGTATCTGTCAGAAAAAGTGTTGTCGAACCTAGGTATATATCTGTAAGTCTTGCGGAATGTAGGGAGTACACTGCTCCTTTGCCGTTTCTTTTTTTTTTACTGTGAATGGCGTGAATAAAATAAGATGTTAACCGAGAAACAAAACCCAAAACAAAAGCAAGAAAATAAAAACTTATCGATTTTGAAATGACTCTACTTTTGCGGGGGGAAAGGGGGAGTTAATAATAATAATAATAACTCTTTTAAGTTCTTCGTTTCGATCATTTCCATTCAATATTTAGTCGTGTAGCGAAAAAGGAAAATATATATCTTTAAAGAAAGTGGAAAAGCCAAGTTTGCTGTGCTTTTTAATATATAAAGAGAATTTTATTTCTATACCCAACTCTTCTCACTTTTATTCTGTACTAATAAACCTAAAGTATTCGATTTCGGTTTTGGATGAAGTACAATTATTATTTTCTGTGAAAAAAATATCGTAATAGATGGTTGAGAATTTCGATTACTTTTATTTTATTAGTGTTTGTACAGAGCGTTCCGTTTTAGTTTCAAATCAGAATTATCTCGCTCATTAGTAAAGATAGAACCCTTTTTTACGAAACTGAGCTGTTTTTTATGAAACCCAAGATACCACAAGCAAAATTAATATTATTAATTATATATTATAATATTATATCTATAATATTATAAATATAATATTAACGTTATGCTTATATTAATATAAGCATAACATTTAGCTTATAAAACAATAAACTTTTGATTTCTAACCAAAATTTCTCTCGACGGATGATAATCCAAGACCAAAATGACATTCTTCGCAAATGTTGAAGTATAATTAGTAGAAAAGTCAAAAGTTTATTAACTCTTTCTACTAATTGAAAATGTCTACCACTAATTTTGACGTTCTGAATGCTTACATTGAAATAAAAGGAATGAACTTCTACATTAATTTAAACTACTAATTTATTCCACTAATTGCGAGGTTCTGAATGAAGCTTTACCGTTTAATCGATGTTTATCGTAAAAAATTAAACGACGCGTCTCATCAATAAAAATTCGATAAATTTGCAAGAAGGCAATGAAATCAGTGGCCGGAGGGTTTTGCTTTATAAAATATATTGCTGTTTATTTAAATGTTTTTGTCGGCATTCTTTTCATAGACACAGATCCAGTAGACGTACTTTAAGAGCTTAGTTACGCCACATTAATGTACTGGTTCTGGATACAATAGTTAAACCATTTCTAAGATACTTTTACTATAGCTACTTACTCGCTAATTTTGAAGCTACCTATTGTTAATCGATATCATTCGAAAAAAAAACATCCCTAATCATATGTATCTAGTATAAAAACTGGTTTTACGAAATTTAAAGAACTGAAAACATAATATTCCATATTTTATATAGTAATTTTGCAATATTCAGCTAATATTCGGGTTATTAAAAAGTGAAGGTGCCCGGTGGCGTGGAGGTACAGGCTCTCGTCTACCAATCTCAAGGTTGTGGGTTCGAATCCTACACCCGGCATTTCATCAGCCGACTATTTTTATTAAAATAAAAATAGTATGTGTACCTAGGTCGACTCAGCCTTAAATGAGTACTTGGGATTCACAATCCTGAGGTAATAATAGGCGGTTGAAGCATCGTGCTAGCCACATTACCTTCCTTGTATACAGAACAGCTCTAGTATGGCAATCTGTACCTTGCTACTCCCAAGTCGTTAAACGCTATATACGAAAGCTATTATTATATTAAAAAGTTAAATGAAAATGTGAATACAAAAATTAATTTCGATTGTTATTTATATATTGATAGGTATCGATAATTTTGAAACCACCTATAGTTCATTTGATAACGTCAATGACTATCGATAGTTGTCAATGACTATCAATAGTTGACTTATCGATAGAAAGAAATTCCATCCCTAATAATTACACGACATTAAACAAATGTTCAGAAATTCCATTTAAACAATATATATATACATACCAAAAAGGATTGTTTTGTATGTTGTTTAAAAAGACAAACTAATTTCTTAACAAATACACAAGGTATCCTATTTAAAAAACCTAACATGACCAATCTCTCAGAAATAGAAATAATAAGGAAAAAATAACTAAATTCCTTTTTACCGCTTTGATAAGTTCTCAGACAAAGGATATTTTCAAAATCACCCTGTATCGTAGAAACTTACCATTTTGTCTGCGCATCTTTGGTTTTATTAAAAAGTAGTTTCGGTTATTGAAACTGGAATGTTCCATTTTTACTATTAAGCAAGGGAACTCTCATCTGCAACTAAAATGGGTCACTCTGTACAGTTGGGCAATTGTAACTAAGTAAAACAAGAAAAAGAAAGTAATTTAAACATCGCTTAAATAAAAAAAAACAAAAGAAAAAATATATATTAAAAAAAAGATAATCCATTGACAAATATATGAATACAATGAATTTATTCTTAGATTACAGAGTTAAGGTATTAGATAATAAAAAATATGACTAGAAAGACTGCAAGTAAAAAAACTGTACAATGTAAGGTTATTCTCGTTTAGTTGTGAAATTGTTTTTTTTTATTAAGAAATTATTTAGATGAAAGTCATAGTTTGCAGTCAAATGTACAGTACCCGCAACATCTCGCTTTTTTAAATCATTATTCATTATTTATTCGACGTTTTTTTTTAAATTGAAACAGTGAAGTTGCCAAGATTTATTGTTATCTAGTTTAGTTGCTATTAGAAAGGTAAGTTTCATTAAAACAACATCGGTGTTTGGTGGATTTTGTGTGTATATAAATTACTTTTCGAGTGTGTCTTCAAATGGAAACTTTCAAATTAACTATAGTTCATATCAAGTAAACTTTTAGTCACGTGATTAAACTTGACCGGCACAGCGTTGCCCTCTTTTACATATTTTCCTTTAGTTTAAATATTTTAGGAAACAAAAATAAATTAATTATAAATATATAAACAGTTATTCTTTATATTAACAAAACTCACCTTCTTAACAGCACTTAAGGGACGTAAAGGACCGTTGCTACCGCTTTCCCGTTCAAAATATTCTAATAAAGTGATGTGATGATTTTTTTACGGCTGTTAAGCTCTCTTGTACACTTCGCACTAAATGACGTTCCAAAAAGAACAATGTTCGACTGCAAGGTCTGTTAGTAAACATTTTTAAGCTTCACAATGCTATTTATTTAAACCAAAAACGCGTAAAACCAAACTAAAGTGTGAAACGAACGACAATGTCAGGAAATAAATAAATAAATGTGGCAACTTGACATTTTTTACAGGAGGGCTACCACCTGAATCCCCAGCGGGAAATTTAAATTCCAATTAGTCAGCCCGGCGCCGAATATATCCATGGTTGGCAACAATGAATTTAAAAATCGCGCCCTCGATTATGTAACTAAATTGATATGAAATATATATGTTTATATCAAAAAGGGAAACTAATCTAATCATATCATTGGGTGCATTTGTGACCATAAGTTTTGACTAATAAGGAATAGAATATGAACATTCAGCAAATATATACAGTAATTTTTGAATAATCCTATGTATTTGAAGAAAAACAATGTAATTTTTTATACAATTTATTATTTTTGATTATTTCAATATTGCATTGTAGATATTCAAATAATCAAAACTACATTATTAAAAAATAGTTCAAAAACATTATCAAACTTCTAACCATTAAACATATTTTTAATGGAGCGATAACAGTGACAGTTTATATATTTTTCCAACTAAAGGTGAGATTACATGGATCCGTCACGCGTCGTCCGTTATTCCGTCACTCAACAGGTTCAAGTATAGTTCCCACACTTGAGAAAACAAATCAAATGAAAGTTCTCAAAGCTACCAAATTAATTATCGATTAGATTATCGTCAGAACAAAGAGATTACAGAATTATAAAATAAATAGAAAAACTTATTCAACCAAAGCGTGCAATTTTAAGTACAAAATTTAATATTTCTTGTGATAATGTCTGGTGTAAAATAATAATTATTTAAATTAATGTATGAATTAGCATCAAATGCCCTTATAAAAGGTCTCAATTGATAAAAATTGGTTTAAAATACGTAATAAACATTTCCAATAAACAGTACCCAAGTTAAAATACCTATCTGGCCATCGAAACTACGTGGTTTGGACTTTAACGTGTAAGGCCACTATTACACTATTAAATTTCTTTGTCAAAGATTTTATTTTATCAATGAATTTGACAGTGTAATATGTGTGATTTTATAAAATATTGGGTAATAACAATGTCAAATTTTTTATCAAATATCTTTTACAAAAGATCTTTGGACAAAGAAACTATATAGTGTAACAGTAGCCTAAGACACTGATGTAAACAGCTTAATGGAAAATCAAATGTATTAAAAAGAGATAAAAGTTGGGTTGATACATTTATTCTAGGCGGTATTGCCGGATTTTGCATCAAAATTCCAAACTGCACAAGGAGGCATTTACGAAAAATGTTTCATCTAGAGTTGTAACTTTATTTTTCACAATTAGTTGCTCATTTTACTACAGCTGTACTAGATTATATTTAGCTTAGATATATTTTCTTCATTTCAGTAGTATACAGGAAAGTTTTTAAAATAGTTTGTTTTTTCCTACACACGTAAATACTGGCAACACTGTATGCCGCTTTTATTTTGTCTCTGTCTGTCAACCCGTCATTCATATTTATCTCTGTCGCGTACATTAAAATACAGACCACGCTGATGAAATGACCAGGATGGTAGGAATATGAAGAGATAATGAAAAATCTGTTATGTCGAATTTTCATTGCTTTTATTTTCTGATTCTTCTTTATTTATAATTAATATTTATTATATTACACTTCAACGAGCATTAAAGCTAGTCTCTATAAGGTTTTTAATCTGTGCCTGTGTTTAATTTAAATATTATAAATTTAACGTTTTTTTTAAATGATGCATTAACATCGAAAAAATCGAAATATAGTTTTACACATATTATAAGGATATGATATTTTAATAATTTATTTGCTTTTAATTAAATTTTATACATTGTAAAGTATTATTTTAATATAGACTAGCATTAATTTTAGTCATAAAACTAAAAAAAAAATCTTATGTAACATAAATTTATATAAAATGAGTTTTTTATCAAGCGTATAATGGTATTCATCTAAGGTGTATATATTTCAAAAAATGTTTGTATATAAGTTATCGAAATATTAGTTTATATATGTGTATTTTTCTGAAATAATCATCTCGATTCAAGTTAGAATATAGCAAAGATTTGATCTATTTTGATATTGTTTTTGCAACGTATTTACAATATATTTACACTACATGAGGTTTCCTTTGAAATTGAAGACATACTCGAACAAAAAGGTAGTTTTATGTAGAATAAAACTAATTAGAACGAAATTGCCATTTCAAAAAAAAACACCATTATTTAACTGGTCGACTTTTCTACATAAGATTTGTTTATTATGTGAACTAGGTATAAGGATTTAGCTATATAAAATCATACTAGGTAGCAAAAGTAATAACTTCATTTTCAGTAACAATTTATTATCTCTAACGTAAATTATTGAGAAGCAAGTTAGATGTTAGGTACCTCTTAGGTTAGGACTTTTTTTTAACAAATTTAATGTTAACACAGTCACAGCATACAGGGTGGCGCCCCTCATACGCCGCGGAGGCTCCAAGGAGAATGACTGTATTGAAATGAAATTTTGTGAGCATATGTAGGTTAATTCCGAACACTTTTTAAAAATACAGGGTATCCCCAAAAATAGTTACATAGGTATCAAAGTTGTGTTTTTTGTAATGGAACACCCTATATATTAATTAATCGGATTCTAGGAGAAAAATAAAGGTGAGTTTTATAAGAGAAGTATATAACTAAAATGTAAAGTTTTTGACATTATCAACATTTTCTAGAAACAACCAAGAACAATTTATAAATTACAATAAAAGCTACCTAAATTGGAATTTATCCGGTATAGCTTAATATGTAGTTAAATTAACTATTGTACTTTAAATCAAATTGATCCAAAAAGTATACAGGGTGAGACAATATTAATATTGAACATTGCTCTCCTTTAAAAGTATGTTACTCTTTTATTTTAAATGGAACACTCAGTATATTATTCCGATATTCAATGGAGAATTCATGTCTCTTCAAAATACTATTAAGGTTGCCTACCCCTCAAACAAAGATTTTCCTAGATATTTTAATTTACATGATTTGATCTGAGTAGATCTTTATAATTTGATAAAATGGTGGCTGTAATATGTCTAACGTTACTTCAACATAGTCAATTAGT